TAATACTGAGAGAAAGTATACAAAAGTCGTTTAAGATAACATTTAAAGGGTATCTCTTCAGGGAAAATATAGCTTGGATTTTCACACGCCATAGCGCTCGCAGATGACAACACTCACGTCATTCACCTTTCTCTAGTACTATTTCTTAGAAAATGTGAGATTTAATTCACCAAATTTGCCTAAAATCATGTATTTCATCAACTGGGTAATAGGGGTATGGCGAAAATGGCGCCGGAGGCATGACGAAATTTTATATGCAAAGGTTTCCCTTTGGGAGCAACAATTTTGAGAAAAATGGCATATTTGCAAAAGTGGCGAATTTTGCCATCATTCGCCACAAAATTCAAACGAGATGGCAGAGGGGTTTGCCAATGCGCTGCATTCGTCTGGACAGATCTCAAGATTGGTCGCGCGGTTTTATTATTCTATAGAGTGCAGATAATTCAAACCTATATAATTTTAAAGATAAAGGGTCATTATAAATTACTTGGCGATTGTAAGCCTGGGACGAACTCTTTCGTCCGTAGCAAAGAGTTCAAGATGACAAAGTTCGCTAATTGTTGCACTGTGGGTCTTCAGGTCAGTGCTTTGCAAAAGAAATCGACCCAACTATTTTCCAGAGGATAATTTCTCCAATTTAGTTTCCGTATTTGTAAATAAATATACATTATATACTTATGGAAAGAATCCCATGAAAAAATTATGACATTATGACATAAAGAACAGCTGCATGCACCCCAGTGCGAAATTAATCGAAATGATAGTGGTTTGACATTCATGAAAAGCACTTGTTTCCGAAGAGATGACAGCAGTGAGATTATTGATATTTCTTTCCCTCTACTTTGGGCTCTTCTTAAAACTTTTCAAAGCTAATGATCAATGCAGAGAGGGAAAATGTCAAACTTATTCCCTCGATATCTACGGAGATGCCGTGGAAAACTTTGAGTTAATTGGCCATGTTTTTCACCAGTTTGCCACGAAAAACCCAATTCATTGCCACAGCCTGTGTGTTGATGATTGTCGGTGTTTGTCGTTCAACTACAAGGAAAATAATGAAAGAAACGTTTGCGACTTGAATGAAGCCAGCGACTTTACAGACCCGAGCTCTATCAAACATTCTCCGGGTTCACGTTATTACAACCTTCGCAGAGCATTCATGGTGCATATAATCTTTGCAACTTTTTTGGGCAATATTTATGGTCAAGTCAATTGTTTGTCTTTTGTATCTAAGTAATTATATAAAAGAGAATTTTGTAATGTTTAAGACAAGAACAGCAGTGTTCGCACTCGAATCAGTTAACCACTGATAAAACTTTCTGTGCCAAGTACTTTGAATAGCTTCAAAAACGTCCCCGGAGTATTTCATAACAGGACTGCTAAATATAAATGCCTTCTCTCTTTTTAAACGTGTTGACTTGAAAAATGTCAAGCAAAAGCAGTTAAGCTAACAAATTTTTGGCAGAAATGGTATGCAATTAAATGTAAGTTTTGCATCTGAAGTCACGGTTAATAAGCGTTCACTGGCTTTCGCAATACGGCCATCCAAATGAAAGAGATTTCCACAACCGGCCGTACAAGAGGAAAACAAAATGCTCACAGTAAAGTGTCGCTTTTTATAGGCTGACCGCAACGCGACATGATTGACATTTATACGGAAATGTAAACTGGTACGAATCATATTATGTTGTTTGTGAGTCGGCATTTGGCACCGGTAGTACGTGAACCGCGGTTTGGTGTCTTCTCGGTTTAGAAAACTTCGTATTTAGTTTTAGAATATAAGTTCTGACCGGTGGACGGTTTTTTGGATCTTTTTTTCGCTTCGGTAGATAGATTTTGTTAGATTTTGACTTTTCATATAATAGGCCACTTGCACTAAGGGATCACGTGACCAATGCTTCCTTTAAACAATGAGTTGGAATCTTGCTGATGCCAAAAATTGTTAGAACACATAAAAATTATCTTACACCCGAGATTTGAGAGGAAACGCATTTAAGGGAGATATTTTATGGGACTTTGATTTTTCCACAAAGTAGTATGATTTGTATTGGCCGCCGTATTGGAGGGCATGCTCTTGCCCTCCAAAATGGCGGCCAAAACTACTTTTTGATTATATCTTGTTCAACGTCTGATAGTTACGCTCAGATGTGCTGTAAACGTTATCACATCATCTTTTCAACATTTTCCTCGAAGATTAAGTGCAAAATTTGTGTTCAGAGAGAGGTACTTCACAGAAAATTCATACAAGACAGCAATTATATCTTACTGAAGAGAAAGTGATTACAAGACTTTTTTTAGTTTAACAGGTGTGACTGGCTCAAAGCAAAGAGAAAGATTGATCAGTTGAAAAGATTGATGGTTACAAAAATCAAGAGAATTGCAAGAATCGAAAGTTAACGAAAATATCCATAAAAAGACTTTGTTTATGAAATACAAGTTTAGTTCCGCAACAGTCCGAGTCCGTCCGGCAACATAAGAGTCTTGTAACAATTTCGTTCGTTAAGATAATCATAGGAAAAAGTACAATTTTTAATAACACTAAAACGTTATAATTAAACTTACTTGAACAGGGTGGTTGTTCATTTTTAGAATAATGATTGCTGACAGTAACACCTTCTCGGCAACTATTCCAGTTTCGGTAATAAATTTACCATTTATTTTCCAACTTTATTTTTCATGTTCAAAATTGCGTTTTTGCGTTCCTTAACTTAATGTCATGTGGTAGTCACGTCATATGCGTCAATGGATGATCAACTTTTTCCTGGGAGTTGGCTATTATGTCACGATTCGAGGGTTCCACTATCACTTATAACAGTTGTTCATCCTTAACTAGTTCACATGAATAATACTTCTCATCGCATCTCTCTTTCTATATCCATTTTTTTTTTCAGAGAGACAATGTGACGCCATGTGATGGTGAAGTCACATGCATTAATGGCTGCTGCAAGAATAATCCTTGCCAGAATGGAGGAACATGTACAGAAATATGTGAGCCCACGAGCGTTCGGTACAACTGTTCTTGCCCAGCAAAGTTTATTGGTCGACACTGTGAGTTTGAAAGAAAAAGCTGCCAGGCCTATAAAGCTGCAGGAGAAAGAAAATCTGGATTGTACACAATCATTGATAACAGTGATAGAGTCTTCAAAGTATTCTGCGACTTTGACTCCGAAGCCAACTTTGCATGGAACTTGATCCAGTCATTTAAGTTTTCAAACAATGATGACTTTAAGGTAAATTAGGTTCAACTTAAATCTATTTTAGCTTAAAAATAAATCATTTGCATTGTGTTGCATGTGATGCTGTGTTTGTCCTTGTTAGAGCACTGGACTAGCAATTCGGAGGTCCCGAGTTCAAGTGCCACCCGGTCCACTGGTTTGATTTTTTCTCGGTATCCCCGAGTTCAAATCCTCGACCACACGTGTAAATAATAGCCAACAGGTTTGCCTCCGGCCAGTTGGAATTCTCAACGGGTCAATTTAGGTTTCTTTGAAACTGCCCACCTACCCTTCCCCTAAGCTATCATTTTGCCCTAAGTGAGAAGTAAGTGTTAATGTTAGCTTAGGGGAGGGGTAGGTAGGCAGTTTCCCAGATATCTAAATTGATCCTTCTTAACCGCATTGATGTTTCTTTATGGAGATGTCGCAAATTCAGAAAGTGGAATCTCAATAACGGTCAGACAGAATGAAAATCGAATTTTATCAAAACACCTCTTGCCGACCTGTCTGCTTCCTGAAATCTCCTCATAACTTACTGTAGAAAGAGCCAAAACCTTGCCTGAGTTGTTGTTGTTGTTGTTGTTGTTGTTGTTGTTGTTTATATATGCAGGGCGTTATCTTTTCTGACTACAATGACGCAGATGCGATCAGTGGCGATCAACCAAACTGGCATGCGTACTTGATCCGCCCAGCATACCTGGCATGGCTTGGGAACCAGTCCACTCACTGGCGAGCTACCTGCCGCTATGATACCGACGGAGTTGTGTACACAGATTACATGCGAACATCCCTGGCAGATTGCAACATACTTACCATGCAGAAAGTACATCGTACGTGCTTCCAGTTTGAATTCATAAACATCCGTGGACATAACTGTTCCAGTTGCACTGTACCTCTCTGGAATGAAAAAGGCGGTTATTCTTTGCATACAGATACCAGCATCAAGAAATGCGAGTTTGACGGACAAACAGGCGCCGTTCATCGAGAAGACAACTTTGGTCATTATGTTCATTCTAATTCCTTACATCGCTGTTCTTCTGGCTCTAATTCTACAACTCAGTTCTGGCTTGGAGGCAAATGAAGGGTTGTCAATTATAGACAAATTGATAGTACCTATGTAGTAGAAAGGAGGGGTCCATGGTCCGTGTCAGATCATAAGGAGGCTTTTGGCACAGATATGTTTAAAAATGGAAACTAACTCCTTACGTAGTGGGGGCAAAAAGCAAAAAAAAGGGGTGAAACAGCAAAAAGAAAAAAAAAATCGGAAGCGAAGTGAGCCGAGCGGTGGACTGGGGAAGTGCAAAGGGTGGTGGTGCCTGGAGACATACCTTTGACGCCGCCGTTCCATGATACCAGATTCTGCTATCATGATCTGATTGGTCAAATGTCTTAATGTTAACACATTATCATTAGCCTGTGTACAGACCAGACAGACGCCCCCACCCCTTGGTGTTCGTCGAGTTAGCGATCGAATTGAAGTAGATCACCATGCACTCTATTTTATTCGAGCGAATTCAAAGACAGTATATACTTTTTGGAATACGCTCACGGTGGCATCCGTGATGAGAACTTGGCGTGTTGAAATTTCAATAACGGGTTAAGGGCGGAACGGCCGCATCAAAGGTATTTTTCCAGGCTCCGCCACCCTTTCCTCTCCCCAGACTACCGCTCGGCTCGCCAATGCGGAGCCTGATCCCAGACTCCCAGGCTAATGCTTTGACCACTATTTCCTTCCCCTCCCCTTCCAGGGATAGTTTTATTGTTCCCTTTTGGACTGAGTGTATATAGTGTAGTGTATATATAAAGAAAACTGTCAGTAAAAAAGTGTTTGAATCATCCAATTTTAGGACAGTATTCTGCCCAAACCCCTCTAAATGACTGTTAAATTTTTGATGAGAAAGCGAGGGGGGGGGGTATCTGTTTACAGCTATGTTTAAGCCTGACGTTGGCTTTTTCAAGCCAGAAGCGTCGAGAAATGAGTTATAAAGACCAATGTCCCCCATCTGAATTGGCAAACTCTAGAGAAGCATAGCGAGTTCTTCAGTATCTATAGTTAAGTGCTACAACATAATTTTTGGAATAGATAGCCTTTCCGGACTTTTTCGGACTTTTTAGAGCTTGCTATAAGTGTCAAATTAGAGCCAATCATGATGTGAAAGTTGCCACTCTGAATTGCAATTGCTACGGGTATTCGTTCTTTTTACGGATCGTTAATGTCTGACGTAACTTGCCTAAAGACGTAGTGCACGAAGGATCGTTGACTTTATTTCGCAACAGATTGAGGACCATTGAAGACTTATATGAATAATGATTTTTAAAAATGGAAAGAGTTTAGTCGATGATATCAAGAAAATAATGTTTTAGGTTGTAGCTTTTAGATTATAGCTTTTTTCTTCTTTACTTTGGGGAGTCATTTGTATAGGGGCAACCACAAGATCTCCCTTTTCGAGAGGTATTTCTTTTTGTGTTATGTTGTCTCTTGAATAAAGTATCGTTATCGTCATCATGTACAGTGGAATCTCGATGTAACGAACCAGTAATAGTAAAATATATCAAAAAGAACCTCGTTATAGCAAACAGATTTTGCCAGTGCCTTTGCTAATCGTCATATCGAGTTCCAATGTATGCGGCAAAGGGCTAAGCGAACTGATGCCAGTAATTTGATTAAAGCGTAAAGCTGTGAGAGGGTGGGGGAAGCTGGGGTACCGTAGTATTGGGGATTCCACCCCTGTTTCTCTCCTTAAACAACTTTTGGACCCAATTGATGAGTTATCTTTTCAACAACGATTCATTACTGATCACCCTGGGGCGATGCAAAAGACTCTGTCGATTGCGTTTGAGACGACATTATATAGCCCACGTCACAAGTCGACCCGACGGATTACAAAATCGTTCATTTGCATTAGTCAGAAGCCTAATGATAAGCTTTGGAAATGCGGCTTATCATTTTCCTAAGATATTAACTAATTGTGTGGATAGCATGCTATTTCACTGTTTTTAATGATTCTTAAAACCGTAGTTAATTGAGTGGAATGGTTATGAAACCCGTCAGACTCCTTTGTTATATGTTTTTGTGGACCTGAAAGTGCACAACGTTCAAAAGAATTCCTATCATTTTGATTGTATTGACCAACAAAAACGTTGCATTAATTTATTCCGTAACAATTTGCCAACAGAAAACAAAGGATTGTGCACTTTCACGGTGCTTTGAACATAAACTGCAGCAATGTTGTTTTTATCATTGATGTTTGCCGCTTTTCATAACCAGTCTCCTCTAATAACTATGTTAAAACTTTGTTTCAATAGTTCCAAAACACTCCTATAGAATTTGCTCAAACTTTGCCTTAATTGAGGCAATTATGGCAGGCACATACTTCCTTAAGAGAGTAATGGCGTCAATACGTAACCATGGCGACTCCGATTGCAATAAAACCCAGATGATAAGAAATTTTAATCTCTATTTGATATAGTTATGGTAACCTTTTTCCCATATCTTTACTCATGCCAATCGTAGTTAATGCTCAAACTTGGGCTGTATACCCCTAGAAAACCCAGTCGAGCCACCTTAACAACTACGTTACCGCACTTTTGAGATATTTAAACGAAACAGGTTAACCTCTAAATGTCTATTAATCCAATATAATTAACGCACTGGTATAAATTAGCTTATTTTGTAAAGGAAATAAGGTTAAGAATAGGTTCTAAAAGTACAAAATAAAGTCATAAAGTATCGCCCTAAAATGCTAAAGCGTAGCCTCAATCTGTTTTAAAGATGCTGAATAGTGCGGACATCATGCTAATGCAAAATAAAAGTAAAATAATGTGTAGTAATGATGCTTACATTGTATATATTCTGGTAAGGCGCAGAATCCAAAATAATTACTTCTTTAAATTTCCTTTTAGAACGGTCAAAATGACACACCACGCCCTTGGTTAGACGGACAATATTGCAAAGAATCCGCAGATCCACGGCTTTATCATTTTTGTTACTGGACTTACTCGAAAAGCCTGGAAAAAAAGCGCATTGAAATTAGTAAAGCTGCCAAGTTGGAAAGTCAAAAGGTTCAAAACTTATTGCACTTACGTATAATAAGACGCTTTGTAAGTAGCTGGGAGGGGCGGTTACGGGCAAATTTGTCCCTTTACCATACCATAGCCCGCGTTGCAGCCGGACTCAGTTGTCACTAGAGACCCAGATAGAGAACTCGATATATAGACTGTCTATATCAGGGATTTATAGACAGTCTGCGAGGCAGGCTACCATAAAGACGTCCGTATTCCGCGTCTTTGCGAACTATACTGAAGCTGGTGTCATTCTCAAAGTCGGCAAGTTTATAAAGGTTCTTTCTCTCGAAGAGTCGATAAATTTCCGCTACTTAACCCTTTTAAGTTGCAAGCCTCGCACGGTTTGGCCTGTTGGTAATAATCGTAGACTTTTAATTCCCAAAATGGTTGTTTTGGCCCTGTCAAAATAATTAATTAGGGGCACCCCCTCGCGTGGCATTGTCGTTTGGAACTCGCACCAAGTTTCTTCTAGGTCATATCTGGTTAAGCATCAGTTCGAAGGTAATTCGCGGTCCATCCTCGCTTGTTTTAACTTGACATTTTGCAGGCCATTTCCGCTCGTCTCTCCGGTTTAGCCATTTAATTTTTTTCTTTTTCCATCCATTCCCCCATTTTTGTTTTTTTGTTTTTTTGTTTTTTCCCTACTCTTGGGTTTGGGGTTTCTATTTTATTGCCTATGGTTTTCAATAGATCGGTTTTTGCCCCAACTCGTGCGTCTCTTGGTGTTTACACTAATTTGGTTGTTTTGGCCCTGTCAAAATAATTAATTAGGGGCACCCCCTCGCGTGGCATTGTCGTTTGGCACTCGCATCAAGTTTCTTCTAGGTCATATCTGGTTAAGCACCAGTTCGAAGGTCATTCGCGACCATCCTCGCTAGTTTTACCCTCCCTACCCTCCCTAGTTTCTATTTTATTGCCTATGGTTTTCAATAAATCGGTTTTTGCCCCAACTCGTGCGTCTCTTGGTGTTAACACTAATTCGTGGTTATTTACGTCAGGATGGAGACCGTCAATTGTAACACGGGGTAAATTGACGTGTGGAGGGACGCTAGGCATATACGTGCTGTTTTAAGGCTTTTAGATTTTTATTTTTAATTATTTTTAATTACCTCTTAATGTAACCTAGAGTGCTGAAAAAATGCAAGAACGAATTTGATTGTTGTACATCAAACAATTCGCTTGAACTCGCATTTATTTCAATGGCATCATGAGGTCGCCGAAACGTCGGGACATTTAAAATTCGTTAGTAATTTTATCCAGTGAGGAAAAATGGAAGCATTCCCAACAACAACAACAACAACAACAATTTATTTATTTCCATACATATTATATAGCATTACCTAAGTAGGAAAAGGTAACAATTGCTTCACATCATTTCGTCTTAAATAAAGCTTCTTGCCTAATATTCATTATTCCAAAAATTGAAAAGCAGAAATAAGTCTATATATAAACGGATCAACATTATTAAAAAGAAACGATATTTTAGAGTTATTATCAAAAGTATTAAAGCAAGGATACCTTGAAGTGATTTTGTCGTTAAGTTCTAATAGAAACTTATCATAAAAATTACAGTGAAAAAGAATATGTTTATCATCTTCAATTTCATTTGAATGGCAGAAAGAACAGCTTCTTTGATGTACAGGTGTCTAACTCTTCGGCGTCGTGTGTCTACCCTTTCCAATGTGTAATTTAGGATTGCCGAGAGGGAATTCATTAAAGGCAATTTTGTGTTGTGGGTTGTTGGTCAGATCTAAAAATTCTGTTTTTATAGTTTCTTTCTTGAATGTCAGGAGTAGAAGTTTTAGTTTTCAGTTTGAGCTAATTAGCATTAATTGGTGGTCTTCATATATATAAGCTTTCTTCGTGTTTGACTTGAACTAAGTAGTTATGATATTTGTAACTTTAATAACTTAGATTATATCTTTTCAATAATTCATTAACTCTGAGCGCCAATCAAGCTGGTTGATGCTAAATTATATCCCAAGAGTCGAGAAGTTCCAAATACAGTAAAATTTCCCAACAAGTGTAGTCACCATTGAAAGAAGACAGAATAGAAGACACCCTTAAACTCAGAAGTGCTCGGAAAAAATGTTTCTTTCCCTCATTTTTTATTTAGCAGCCTCTACAGCTCTGTCAACCGAAGAAAACTTTAGATCTGCGTACATCATAAATATAGGGAAAACAAGCGCTTAGCAGGACAAGCGGTCAAGAAAATCGATTCATCTAGTCTGTTGTCATGCAGTCAGACGTGTTTAAGATACTCCTGGTGCACGTCTACTAACTTTAAAGAGTGCTTTGGCAAGAGATGTGGTACAGGCAATTGTAAACTGCATAAGCAGGTGTTCTCTACGATTCAAGATGACACCAAGCTTAATGATCAACCTGGCTCCACATTTTCAATGTTTCTTAAGGTAGGAAAACAGTTTAATATTTGCTTTGTAGGTAATATAAAAGGACCCAGTTGAAATTAACTGATTCTGATATACTGTACAAAATAAGGAAGAAAACGGAATCTGAAACTGAAAAGGAGATAAGAAACAAAGTCCATCGAGAACCGGGCAATTAAAAAGACAGGGTTTGCACTCATGGGAACATTTCAATGTCAAAAACACTCCTTGTAGGTTCATCATCCCTGTTGAGCGTGGTTAAAATTAAGACAAGACAAGACATTTACTACCTTAATATTAACTAGTTATAGCTATCGCCAAGTGCCAACGAATAAAGATTTTACCTATATGCGTGCGCTGTTCAATTTGTTTAGAAATATCATGAATCACCGTTCGTAATTTACGAAAAATGGTTTGAACTCAATTCGATTGCGTAAGCGAAAATTACCTTGAAAATAGTGAACTGAACTGTTCCACTGCATAAAAAATTTGAAATCCCAACTTTACATAGCATATTTTTCTAAGGAGATATTGAAGTTCGTGTTTTTGTCCGAAGCTACACACAGGTCATTTTGCGAAAAATTTCTTTTTAAAGCTTAGGCAGTCTACTTTTCAGGAAAACAAGATTTATGGTGCGCCGATGAAGCCTTCCGAATTATTTTACTTCAAAAACACAATAAATTAAGCTAAGGTTTAGGATTTCGTGATTTTATTTCTCGCGTTGTCATGGTTGTTTCAAGCTAAATCATCTTCGTCTTTTAAAATTTCAAAGAGCACACGTCAGTTGAGTAACACAAGTTCCCCCTATTTTGCGTTAGACAAACTAGAAGATATCATAGAAACTCTAACAATAACAATTTAACCCCGCCAGTTCCAGTTGATCTGAATAATTCTTCACGTCATAAGAAATCCGGATTCAATAATTATTTAATTATTCATTCAAATAAACAAGTAGAAACAAGTCACCTCGATCGATATAAAAATTCCTTCTTCATTTGGCTGTTACTCGCAAAATCAGAATTAAATGGGATGTTTGGCCTCGGAGCTGATATTCTTCAAATACCTTGTTGTCATCTGTCGAGTTATTCTTGCTATATTTTTTAGGAAGTAGTTCTATCGGCTATTTCTTCTTGGCAAAACGTGTAAAATTTTTCACCATTTTCTCTTGCACTACCAATGCAGCTGAGCGAACGCATCCTAGTCCCCTGGGCCTGGTCGGTTCAAAACTGGGTTAATATCAAACCCAGAGTTGGTATGAGAGCTTAAAAAGCAAATTCAGTTTACTTATCTTTGCCTACAATTTCATGATTAGATACTCGAAGCTAGATCTATAAAGAAGAGAGAAAATTATCCGAGAGAGTGCTTTTGATAAAAAGAAGAAGACACCGTGGTTAAAATTTAACCCCGGGTTAGCGCTAACCGGCGTTCGAACAACTGGGGCCAGGGCTTCTCGGTTGCCGTTATCTTTTTTCCAAATACCCTGTAACATTAAGGTCATTTTACTGGATATTGTAAACGTCCCCCAACTGTGATCAACACCAGCTGGTCATGAAGAATTAGCCGGGGGATTTAAGCAGCCAAGTAATCAGAGACGGAGAAATATTTTGAATAATAATCATGCAATATACTCCCTATCAACACCGACGAGCTGTTTATTGACTTTATTGTATTGAGTTTGTTTGATTGTTTTTTTTAAAGATTTATCTCTCTGAAAACTATTAGCACATTTCTTACAAAAATACATTTTTGTAAAAAAATCAAATTTTACAGTTATATAGCTCCAAAAAAAAGCAGGATTTTTACATAAAAATGCAGTATTTATACAACCGTATATTTATCACCTTTTGTTACATTGAATTTTTGCATTATTTTCTGGTATTTTGGTGGTCCTGATAACAAATGGCCAACTTTATTTACTTTCGGTTAAATACCTTAGGAATTAGGATTAAAGGGGCGCCACAGGCAGCCCAGACTCTATAGACGGCATCTGATGGCATGGGGGTTCGTTGGAATTCCAATTTGTAAGAGAATGGTGTGAGAACAAACAAACTACGCTCTAAATTCCTCTTTTTTGAAAAGATTCGAAATAAAAATGAAATACCTTTTGTTTGTGTTATGGGTCTTACATTCAATTTGCTTCTTGAGCAATTTCGAAGCCGATTTGGCGAGTTTTAAATTTTGATACTGCAGTACAAAAAGAAATAAGGGAAGGCTAGCGAGCAGTGTAGATAAAGGATATACTGTACATATGTTGTTCAAACTCCGAGAGTGGAGAAACAAATACTTCTGGAACAAATAAGACCCACCGTAGCACCAGTACCACGCGAGGGAGACCAGTCTTTGGTGTAAATACGAAGTTTGCTGCTGAATTCACATTTTGCTGTGTATAGAAACCAAGCAAGCGAACGTATGAAGAATAGGAATCAACAGTCTTTTCTTAAAATTTCTTTGTCAAGCATTATTGTGCAAAAGCAGAAACATCGAACCCTAGCTCACTGGAATTAAACAGAACGCCGGCGCTACAAAATAGTCCAAAATACATACATACATACATACTTTATTACATACATACACACACAGTGGGGTTTTTACAGTTACATTCTTTAATCAACTCCCTAAAGAGGGTTAAAATAGTTAAATAAATTACTAATCAACTAAGATAATAAAAATAGTTAAAAAATAAATTACAACGGATAATTCAAGATTTAAAAATACGTTACGATTGATCAGAGAAAAGTAGGTTGACAATTTTTTTCCTAAAAACTTTGACAGAATCTGAAGATCTAACATTGTCTCTTAGATTATTCCAGAGCTTAGCACCGCGGTAGGTGAAGAACTGCTGACCAGTGGTTAGGCGGCACCTTTAAATGTTCAGTTGATCACATTGTCTAGTAGTTTTAGTGTGAGTTTGTGAACGCAGAGTAAATTTCTCGATTAGGTAGTCAGGCACAAGTTTATTAATATATTTGTACATCATCACTGCATCGTTCAAATAAATTCTGTCATTAACAGGCAGCCAATTTAGCGGTTTAATAGCTTGTGAGATGTGATCAAACTTTTTGAGGCCAAGAACAACACGGGCGGCAAAATTCTGCACTAAATGAAGTTTGTTGGTGTTATGTTTACTAGTATTTGACCAAACAGTTGAGCAATAATATAATTTACTAAAAACGAAAGAGTTGATAAGGAGAAGTATTGTTTTCTTATCTAGCAAGTGTTTTATTCTATTGATTTGTACGAGTTTATGTAGGCAAATAGAGACTGTTTTAGCAATGTGTTCATCGGAAGTTAGTGATTGGTCAATATAAATGCCAAGATCTTTAACAACAGTAGAGGGTGTCATTTCTTTTCCAAGCATCCGTACAGATGCTGTGGGCAGCTTATTAAGGAGTTGAGGCGTACCGATCATTAAAACTTTAGTCTTATCAGGATTTATCAATAAAGAGTTTTGGCAACACCATCTGGAGACTTGTTCCAGGTCCGCATTTAGATTGTGAATTGCAGTGGACATGTCAGATGAGGGAAAGGACAGGTACAGTTTAGAATCATCAACATAGCAGGCCGATTTGCAGTAAGTAGGGACAGACAACAGGTCATTCACATAAATAGTAAACAGGACTGGACCCAATATAGATCCCTGAGGGACTCCATATTTCAGGGGAAGTGGATCAGATAAAAGATTCATAACTCCAAAGTCTCATCAAATCTTGACTTACCTCATTCCTTCGTATTTAATGTACTCTTTTCAAGTTTGAATTTCTGTGTTGGCGATATCAAAGACATAAAAACAACCGAAAACAAGCTTGATCTCGAATGCATACATCAAACACGATGGGCGTTATTTTGTATCTCGCCCCAGTCCCCGCCGCCGCGCAAATTATCTATCCTGACTGCGATCTCAAAACCACGTCCACCTTTCACACCAGTTTGTGACGAAACAAGCACGGTAACCCCCGCTTTCTTTCCCAGGTATTTGCTAAGAACAGTCTAATAAAGAAAATATTTGAAGAAGAAAAAAAGTTTGATAGTAGAACATGATTCTTTTGGGAAAAATAGTTTCGTATTTGCTGTATTTGGGTCGTGGGTTAAGTCGAAGACTTCAAGGTAACCACGGAACTGTCCGAAAAAGAGCAATATCCCCACAACCAGGCAATCAAAAACAAATTAAATGAAACAATACTGCTTATTTGAATAAAAGACGCTTTATGTTTAAGATAAAATTTTGTGTTTCAAGTAACAAAGACTTAATTCTGTAAGAAGGGGATTCCAATTTTTAACGCGCAACCAGTAAAGATACCCCAGTTTAAGAGCTTGCTGACGCGTAAACAAGCACAGTGACTCCATCTTTTTATTATATTTTTTTAATGTTCATATCATGAATATTGATCATGCCAAGTTTCAAAAAAAGTTTGATAGTAGAACAATTTCAAGGGAATTACCTTAAGTTTACAAGTTTCTGAAGTTTTCAACAAAATACCTGTTTAAATCCTTCCTGGTGTGCTCTTTTGCTTGTTTAGGATTTCTAGAGGGTCTTTCAATGCCCTCATATCTTAATTCACAACATTTTAAAACTATTTTGTAATTTCACTTGGACAGTGATAAATTAACGCTGAAAATTTGAGACTCTGTTCAGCGCAAGGCACTAATGCGCACTATGTGTAGTCGAGAGATTTTCCGAAAAAATGCTGGCAACAGCAGATTTTCGACTCAAGACCTCAAAGGGGCGTGGCATTATAACCACGTGACATTTACTCCGATCGCCAAAAAGTTTATGTTATATTGTAGATTGATCTATATGTTATCCATTCTATGTGTTAGACCTACGATAAAAGTAAAGGTGGGGATTCCAGAGAGCTTCAAAGTAGGATGGTACCCCCCAAAAAAATCGGGGTCGAGTCACCTTAAGGTGCCAGGGCATTAAAAGACCCTCTAGAAACCCTAAACACAAGAGAAAGAGCACATCAAGAAGGATTTTATCTGGGATTTTGTCGAAAAATTCTGAAAATTTTGAACTTAAGCCAAACTTTAAACCTCTAAACTTAACAGAACAGTGTGTAGAGTTCTCGATACGATAATTTTTTTACCCATGATATTACTATGTAATCAGTAAAGGCAAGGGAAGTTATTAGAATTTGGACAAAACGCAAGTGAAATCATTCTCTATTTCACTTGTCACCATTTGTTTACACACACAAATCTCGCGCTCTGATTGGCTGAATTTTCCCACAGGTGAATCCTCACAGAAGTTAGCGCGCACTCAAGGCAGTACGCATCAATTTCTACGCGACTATATTTTGTTTTTACCTCACAGATTGCAAAGGTTTTTTTTCTTAATACTGAGAGAAAGTATACAAAATTCGTTTAAGATAACATTTAAAGTGTATCTCTTCAGGGAAAATATAGTTTGGATTTTCACACGCCATAGCGCTCGCAGATGACAACACTCACGTCATTCACCTTTCTCTAGTACTATTTCTTAGAAAATGTGAGATTCAATCCACCAAATTTGCCTAAAATCATGTATTTCATCAACTGGGTAATAGGGCTATGGCGAAAATGGCGCCGGAGGCAAAAAATCGCCGGAGGCATGACGAAATTTTATATGCAAAGGTTTCCCTTTGAGAGCAACAATTTTGAGAAAAATAGCATATTTGGCAAAAGTGGCGAATTTTGCCATCATTCGCCACAAAATTCAAGCGAGATGGCAGAGGGGTTTGCCAATGCGCTGCATTCGTCTGGACAGATCTCAAGATTGGTCGAGCGGTTTTATTATTCTATAGAGTGCTGATGATTCAAACCTATATAATTTTAAAGATAAAGGGTCATCATAAATTACTTGGCGATTGTAAGCCTGGGACGAACTCTTTCGTCCGTAGCAAAGAGTTCAAGATGACAAAGTTCGCTAATTGTTGCACTGTGGGTCTTCAGGTCAGTGCTTTGCAAAAGAAATCGACCCAACTATTTTCCAGAGGATAATTTCTCCAATTTAGTTTCCGTATTTGTAAATAAATATATATTATATTCTTATGGAAAGAATCCAATGAAAAAATTATGAACGTTATGACATAAAGAACAGCTGCATGCACCCCAGTGCGAAATTAATCGAAATGATAGTGGTTTGACATTCATGAAAAGCGCTTGTTTCCGAAGAGATGACAGCAGTGAGATCATTGATATTTCTTTCCCTTTACTTTGCGCTCTTCTTAAAACTTTTCAAAGCTAATGATCAATGCAGAGAGGGAAAATGTCAAACTTATTCCCTCGATATCTACGGAGATGCCGTGGAAAACTTTGAGTTAATTGGCCATGTTTTTCACCAGTTTGCCACGAAAAACCCAATTCATTGCCACAGCCTGTGTGTTGATGATTGTCGGTGTTTGTCGTTCAACTACAAGGAAAATAATGAAAAAAACGTTTGCGACTTGAATGACGCCAGCGACTTTACAGACCCGAGCTCTATCAAACATTCTCCGGGTTCACGTTATTACAACCTTCGCAGGGCATTCAGCGGCCAAAAGGTATAAAAACGTATATCATGGTGCATATAATCTTTGCAACTTTTTTGGGCAATATTTATGGTCAAGTCAATTATTTGTCTTTTGTATCTAAGTAATTATATAAAAGAGAATTTTGTAATGTTTAAGACAAGAACAGCAGTGTTCGCGCTCGAATCAGTTAACCACTGATAAAACTTTCTGTGCCGAGTACTTTGAATAGCTTCCAAAACGTCCCCGGAGTATTTCATTTCAAAAGAACTGCTAAATATAAATGCCTTCTCTCTTTTTAAACGTGTTGACTTGAAAAATGTCAAGCAAAAGCAGTTAAGCTAACAAATTTTTGGCAGAAATAGTATGCAATTAAATGTAAGTTTTGCATCTGAAGTCACGGTTAATAATCGTTCACTGGCTTTCGCAATACGGCCATCCAGATGAAAGAGATTTCCACAACCGGCCATACAAGAGGAAAACAAAATGTTCACAGTAGAGTGTCACTTTTTATAGGTTGACCGCAACGCGACATGATTGACATTTATACGGAAATGTAAACTGGTACGAATCATATTATGTTGTTTGTGAGTCGGCATTTGGCATTGGTAGTACGTGAACCGCGGTTTGGTGTCTTCTCGGTTTAGAAAACTTCGTATTTAGTTTTAGAATATAAGTTCTGACCGGTGGACGGTTTTTTTGGATCTTTTTTCGCTTCGGTAGATAGATTTTGTTAGATTTTGACTTTTCATATAATAGGCCACTTGCACTAAGGGATCACGTGACCAATGCTTCCTTTAAACAATGAGTTGGAATCTTGCTGATGCCAAAAATTGTTAGAACACATAAAAATTATCTTACACCCGAGATTTGAGAGGAAACGCATTTAAGGGAGGTATTTTATGGGACTTTGATTTTTCCACAAAGTAGTATGATTTGTATTGGCCTCCGTATTGGAGGGAATGTTCTTGCCCTCCAAAATGGCGGCCAAAACTACTTTTTGATTATATCTTGTTCAACGTCTGATAGTTACGCTCAGATGTGCTGTAAACGTTATCACATCATCTTTTCAACATTTTCCTTGAAGATTAAGTGCAAAATTTGTGTTCAGAGAGAGGTAATTTATAGAAAATTCATACAAGACAGCAATTATATATTACTGAAGAGAAAGTGATTACAAGACTTTTTTCATTAAATTCTCCAGTTTAACAGGTGTAACCGGCTCGAAGCAAAGAGAAAGATTGATCAGTTGAAAAGATTGATGGTTACAAAAATCAAGAGAACTGCAAGAATCGAAAGTTAACGAAAATATTCATAAAAAGACTTTGTTTATGAAATACAAGTTTAGTTCCCTAACAGTCCGAGTCCGTCCGGCAACATAAGTCTTGTAACCATTTCCTTCGTTAACATAATCATAGGAAAAAGTACAATTTTTAATAACACTAAAACGTTATAATTAAACTTATTTGAACAGGGTGGTTGTTCCTTTTTAGAATACTGATTGCTGACAGTAACACCTTCTCGGCAACTATTCCAGTTTCTGTAATAAATTTACCATTTATTTTCCAACTTTATTTTTCACATTCAAAATTGCGTTTTTGCGTTCTTTAACATAATGTCATGTGGTAGTCACGTCATATGCGTCACTGGCTGATCAACGTTTTCCTGGGAGTTAGCTATTTTGTCACGATTCGAGGATTCCACTATCACTTATAACATTTGTTCATCCTTAACTAGTTCATATGAATAATACTTCTCATCGCATCTCTCTTTCTAAATCCTTTTTTTTTTCAGAGCCACAGTGTGATGCCATGTGATGGTGAAGTCACATGCATTAATGGCTGCTGCAAGAATAATCCTTGCCAGAATGGAGGAACATGTACAGAAATATGTGAGCCCACGAGCGTTCGGTACAACTGTTCTTGCCCAGCAAAGTTTATTGGTCGACACTGTGAGTTTGAAAGAAAAAGCTGCCAGGCCTATAAAGCTGCAGGAGAAAGAAAATCTGGATTGTACACAATCATTGATGACAGTGAAAGAGTCTTCAAAGTATTCTGCGACTTTGACTCCGAACCCAAGTTTGCATGGAACTTGATCCAGTCATTTAAGTTTTCAAACAATGATAATTTTAAGGTAAATAAGGTTCAAGTTAAATCTATGTTAGCTTAAAAATAAATCATTTGTATTGTGTTTCATGTGGTTCTGTGTTTGTCCTTGTTAGATCACTGGACTAACAATTCGGAGGTCCCGAGTTCAAGTGCCACCCGGTCCACTGGTTTGATTTTTTCTCGGTAGTAACAAGTTCAAATCCTCGACCACACGTGTAAATGATAGTCAACAGGTTTACCTCCGGCCAGTTGGAATTCTCAACGGGTCAATTTAGGTTTCTTTGAAACTGCCCACCTACCCCTCCCCTAAGCCATCATTTTGCCCTAAGCGAGAAGTAAGTGTTGATGTTAGCTTAGGGAAGGGGTAGGTGGACAGTTTCCCCGAAACCTAAATTGATCCTTCTTAACCACATTGATGTTTCTTTATGGAGATGTCACAAATTCAGAAAGTGGAATCTCAATAACGGTCAGACAGAATGAAACTCGAATTTTATCAAGACACCCCTTGCCGACCTGCCTGCTTCCTGAAATCTCCTCATAACTTACTGTAGAGAGAGCCAAAAACTTGACTGAGTTGTTGTTGTTGTTTAAATATGCAGGGCGTTATCTTTTCTGACTACAATGACGCAGATGCGACCAGTGGCGATCAACCAAACTGGCATGCGTACTTGATCCGCCCAGCATACCTGGCATGGCTTGGGGCCCAGTCCACTCACTGGCGAGCTACCTGCCGCTATGATACCGACGGAGTTGTGTACACAGATTACATGCGAACATCCCTGGCAGATTGCAACATACTTACCATGCAGAAAGAATATGGTACGTGCTTCCAGTTTGAATTCATAAACATCCGTGGACATGAATGTTTCAATTGCACTGTACCTCTCTGGAATGAAAAAGACGCTTATTCTTTGCATACAGATACCCACATCAAGAATTGCGAGTTTGACGGGAAAACAGGCTCCGTTCATCGAGAAGACAACTTTGGTCATTATGTTCGTTATAATTCCTTACATCGCTGTTCTTCTGGCTCTGATTCTACAACTCAGTTCTGGCTTGGAGGCAAATGAATGGTTGTCAATTATAGACAAATTGATAGTACCTATGTAGTAGAAAGGAGGGGTCCATGGTCCGTGTTAGATCATAAGGAGGCTTTTGGCTCAGATATGTTTAAAAATGGAAACTAACTCCTTATATATTTACGCAGTGGGGGCAAAAAGCAAATAAACGGGGTGAAACAGCAAAAATAAAAAATAAAAAAAATAGGCAAGCGAAGTGAGCCGAGCGGTGGACTGGGGAAGTGGAAAGGGTAGTGGTGCCTGGAGACATGCCTTTGATGCCGCCGTTTCATGATACCAGATTCTGGTATCATGATCTGATTGGTCAAATGTCTTAATGTTGACACATTCGCGGTATTGCTAACAGTTGAAATATCACGTTTTTTCAATTTGGGAAAACATTTTTCCTTTTAAACACGGATTTCGAGCAAGCTATACAAAATTCTTAGCAAGGTTAGGCGGAGATAACAGCGATTGGGGGAAATAATGATTACTGACTTTTACGCGATTTTGAGCATTCCCATAAAACGTACAAAAAATCCAACCAGAATACACCCGAACTAAACTTTCGCATAAGGTGCTTAACTTACACGGCATATTTCCTCCGCTGAAAATAAACTCCACCGAGCAATATTTCTGTCTGGTACATTATCATTAGCCTGCGTACAGACTAGACAGACGCCCCCTCCCCCTGGTGTTAGTCCAATTAGCGATCGAATTGAAGTAGATCACCTTGCACTCTATTTTATTCGAGCGAATTCAAACACAGTATATACTTTTTGGAATACGCTCACGGTGGCATCCGTGATGAGAACTTGACGTGTTGAAATTTAAATGACAGGTTATGGGCGTAACGGCGGCATCAAAGGTATCTTTCCAGGCTCCGCCACCCTTTCCTCTCCCCAGACTACCGCTCGGCTCGCCAATGCGAAGCCTGGTCCCAGACTCCCAGGTTAATGCTTCGACCACTATTTCCTCCCCTCCCCTTCCAGGGATAGTTTTATTGTTCCCTTTTGGACTGAGTGTATATAGTGTAGTGTATATATAAAGAAAATTGTCAGTACAAAATGTATGAATCATCCAATTTTAGGACAGTATTTGGCCCAAACCCCTCTAAATGACTGTTAAATTTTTGATGAGAAAGCGAGGAGGGGGGGCGGGGGGCTGTTTACAATTATGTTTAAGCCCGACGTTGGCCTTTTAAAGCCAAAAGCGTGGAGAAATGAGCTATAAAGACCAATGTCGCCTATTTGAATTGGCAAACTCTAGAGAAACATAGAGAGTTCTTCAGTATCTATAGTTAAGTGCTACAAGATAATTTTTGGAATAGATAGCCTTCCCTGACTTTTTCGGACTTTTTAGAGGTTGCTATAAGTGTCAAATTAGAGCCAATCACGATGTTAAAGTTGCCACTCTGAATTGCAATCGCTACGGGTATTCGTTCTTTTCACAGATGGTTAACGACATTATATAGCCCGCGTCACAAGTCGACACGACGGATTACACAATAGTTCATTTGCATTAGTCAGGAGCCTAACGATAAGCTTTGGAAACGGGCTTCGCGATCGCCCGGAGCGATTCCCCTCTTTTTTTTTTGTACGCAGTTTTCAATGGAATCAAACCACTGTGAGATGAAGCCGCGTTTCCAAAGCTTATCATTTTCCTAAAATATTAGCTAATCGTGTGGATAGCATGCTATTTCACTGTTTTTATGATTCTTAAAACTTTGTTTCAATATTTCCAAAACACTCTTATAGAATTTGCTCAAACTTTGCCTTAATTGAGGCAATTATGGCATGCACATACTCCCTTAAGCAATTTCTTAAAAAAAAAAAAAACTCCGAGTACAGAGAAACACAAAGATAAATAAAAAACGTAGTGGCGTCATTACGTAACCATGGCGACTCCGATTGCAATAAAACCCAGATCATAACAAATTTTAATCTCTATTTAATACAGTTATGGTAACCTTTTTCCCATATCTTTACTCATGCCAATCGTAGTTAATGCTCAAACTTGGGCGGTATCCCCCCAAAAAAATCCAGTCGAGCCACCTTAACAACTACGTTACGGCACTTTTGAGATAGTTAAACGAAACAGGTTAACCTCTAAATGTCTATTAATCCAATATGATTAACGCACTGGTATATTTTAGCTTATTTTGTAAACGAAATAAGATTACGAATAAGTTCTAAAAGTACAAAGCAATGTAATAAAGTATCGCCCTAAAATGCTGAAGCGTAGCCTCAGTCTGTTTTAAAGATGCTGAAACAGTGCGGACATCATGCTGATGCAAAATAAAAGTAAAATAATGTGTAATAATGATGCTTACATTGTATATATTCTGGTAGGGCGCAGAATCCAAAATAATTACTTCTTTAAATTTCCTTTTAGAACGGTCTTAGCAACGCGCGAAGGACCGACATAATCAGCGAAGGTTCTAATAAGATCGTAGGTCTCATAAGGCGGAACTTTTGGTTCTGCGATGAAAAAGTTAAACTGACCTTGTATAAAACGTTAGTGAAGGCCTGTTTTCATGAAGGTGGGGAACCCCAGGTAGGTGAGATAACCCGCTCAGGTGGGGTAACCCGCCTGTCCATATAATCTCTCATTTTAATTTGATCACGTTTACGTGATAGGTGGGGTGACCCTGCCGCATGTTACCTCACCTATCTGGGGTCCCCCACCTCTATGTAAACAGGCCCTAAGACCTAAACTCGAGTATGTAACGTCAGCCGGGAATCCACATTATAAATGTGATATTTGTAGACTGGAAGGTGTGCAATTAGCGGCAGCACGCTTCTGTAAAACTGATAACCACTATGCCCCCAGCGTTAGCATTATGTTAGATAGTCTTGGCCTCGAACCCCTTGAAACGCCAAGAAAACTAAGTGGTCAATGTATGATGTACAAAACTATTCACGGACTCGTTGGTTTGAATATACATAATTATTTGCAATTCTCCGAGGAAACACGAACACGGGACAGTCATCAGGGGAACCCAACGACATTTTTCGGGAAAATATCTGTTCGGAAGACGATTTGAGATCTAGAATTGTCGAAACATTTTTTGTAAAATTTCTTGCTTGCCTGCCTCTCCTAGGATTTTTCGAACATCTACGAAATAGTGTAATTGCCCATTTCTAACGGATTTTTACCCTAAAAAGGTCACCTAGAATTTTCGAGAGCCTTTTTTCTAGCTAAAATTTTCGAAAAGGTAAGTTTTGATCCCTATAATTTTCGGATCACTAGACTTTCAGCTAGGAAATCCGAACAGATTAAAAATTTTTAGGGGATAAAAATATGCCTACATCTACCGTTTAAATACTAAAATACGTTCAACAATGCTATGTTTAAGTGGTTTTGAACTATATTCTCGTTGGGTGCCCCTGAGTCATGCGTATACATTCCAGACCCCCTTTAGCTATACGAATGCCCTTAACTTCTCCTTTTTCCCGAGGATCTCAAGAGAGTGGGACCAGCTCCCAGCCAAGGTAGTGTTGTGTCCATCGCTAGCTGTGTTCAAGAAGAAAGCGACTACTTCAGTTATGAACTACAATCCAAAATAGACAAGTCAATAATATGTATTTTTTTTAATAATGTATTTTTTAATAGTTAGTGTGATGCCTGACCGGCTTTACTATAACTTAATGAAGGTTAAGGTGAAGATGAAAATTATCTGGGCCTTGCGATTTATTTTGGTTATTTTAGAGTGGCCGGGAAGGAGTGACGGTAAACAATTTTTTAAAAATATTTAAGACGGAATCCATCACGAGATTGAATGATTTTAAGTTTCAGTGGACAAAATTCTTGTACCAGATAAATTTTAAGAATATCGCATTCTTTTTTTTACAGTTTTAAAGGGCTATAGATGTTATTAGTTAACTGTAATGACACCAAAGAATATTTCTCATGGCAGCCCGAGAAAATAATCCGCGGCAGGATTAGCTCAGTCGGTAGAGCACTTGACTGCAGAGCGGGAGGTCGCGGGCTCGATTCCCGGGGCCGGACCAATACTCAGGGTCTTAAAAATAACTGAGAAATGGTGGTACTTCCTTTGCCCTGCAGGCGGCTAGACCTTCTCGTGGCTCGGATGACCACGTAAAATGGCGGTCCCGTCTCCATTAGCAGACGTAAAATATAGTGTCCCCAATTAGCACTTTCGTGCTATAGTACATTGACACTAAAAAAAAGTGCATTTTAGTCAAATCTAAAATGTTTACTTTTAGGATAGTTTTTTGTGGAAGAATTCAACAGAGATGGAGGTATACTTAGATTCTCTTAGGGGGTCAGAAATGGCTTATTTACTTCAGAGTATGAACAAGACCAAGATTGAAGAAAGCAAACACGATGAAGTAAAAATAAGTTTGTCCAACTGGAAACAGGTGTCAATGAGAAGAAACCTTGTAGCCACGCTCGAACGGCGAACAAAGAGAACCACTGGGGCCAGTTATACATAAATCTTAATTACAGTTGTACGCGAACGATTATAATGCCCGACGTTCAGCCGAGTCAAACATTTTATTTAAACTCCAGAAGTAAGTAGCTAGTCTACGACTAGTTATTGACAACGTTTGTCAGGATTCATTTATCAGAGATGCTTATTAAGTACGTAGATAAAAAAGAATGCTGCGGATGGTTGTAGTTATCACACATTATATAAAGTGTCGCATCTTCATTTTGTTGCAGTCAGCTGCTGTTAATGATCCTAAACATGTCTCTTCTTCGAGTGCAGCTGAAAATAAAAGAGGAGGCATCGTTTCACTGGCCACCCAGCCAGACCTGAGTAGTGGCGTTAGGTCCCGACGAACAACGATGTAATGGATTAACAGCACCATAACCTCCAAAGTTGTCTTCGTTATAAACTGCACTAGTCTTTCCGTTGAATTCACAGATATTTTTGTCACTATCTGTGTGCAAGGAATTTTCATCTTTTTCATACCAGAGTGGTGCGGTACAGTTCAAACATTCGTGCCCCCGGATGTTCATAAATTCGAACTTGTGGCATGTACCTGATTGGGTCTGTGGGCTAAGTATGTTGAAATTTGCCAGGGATGTTTTCATGTAATCTGTGTACACAACTCCGTCGGTATCATAGCGACAGGTAGCCCGCCAGTGAGTGGACTGGGCCCCAAGCCATGCAAGGTTTGCTGGGATGATCAGGTACGCCTGCCAATTTGGATGGTCACCGCTGATTGCGTTGTCATCATCGTAATCAAAGAAAACAATTTCATCCTACAGATTACAAACTTGTCATTAGCATTAGTAGATGAGAACAATAAATGATGGATTTTATTCCTCTAGTTGACAAGCCTGTGACATGCGGAAGAGAAGGTTACAAATAGGGTAACACGCGGTTTAAGGTGATTCCTTAGTAAAAGAACCTAACATAGATTGTAGATGAAACTTGGTACACTGATGTAACAAGTCAAGAAGACGATGAAAAAGTACTAAAAAGTTGGGGTCACCGTGCTCGTTTTGACGTCACAATGCTGACAAATACGGCTATTTTGGACCCTTTGACAAAAACCGCGCGCAGCCCAAAACTAGACAAAAAGGAGAGATTTTTTCGATGATGCATGTGGTGTCGCACAGAATTTGACTTTAATGTATTGTTTATCCACTTACATACCAGAAAAATGCCTTAAGATGCCCTTGTTTTTACTTTAAACTCCAAAATAGAATTGAATTAGACACGCGCTATTCGACCCGTGATAGCTCAATCCGTACAATCTAGTAAAATTGCCAAAAAACTGAACATAGATTTGTGCCAATTTTTTTCTCATCTAAATATTTACTAAAGCGTGATATCGAGAGAAGATGGCTGAAAGAAGCACTGAAGAGCACAGAACCTGTAATTATTTTATTCATTTCTGGGTATGTTTTGGCTACTCCACCCACATATGTGTTTCGTATTTATTTAGTATTCACCGAACCGAGCATCGTCGTGAGCTTCAAATTACCTGAATTAATAGAGAGGGGGTAAAATGACCGGAAATTCGGCCTCGGGTTTGTCAGTCAAGAAATGATTATTTCGAGCGACGACTAAAAACAAGGATCCTTTACCCTGCGTTTTTTACCAAGCTCACAACAAGTGTTGTTTATCTTTAGTTAGACCAGGGAAACAAACAATTCAGAAGACTGAAATTAAAGTTTAGTCTCAGTACTAATCTCGAGAAGGGAAGTGTCAGTAATATACAAAATGTAAGATACCATCTGCAATACTTGCCCCAAAAATGTCTTTCTTTGATAAGCTGAACGACTGGATCAAGTTCCATGCAAACCCAGGCTCAGAGTCAAAGTCGCAGAACACTTGGAAGGATTGATCACTGTCATCAGTGATTGTGTACAATCCAGAACTCTTTTCTCCAGCAGCTTTGTAGGCCTGGCAACTCTTTCTCTTTTCACAGTGTCTACCAATAAACTTTGCTGGACAAGAACAGTTGTACCGGACGCTCGTGGGCTCACATATTTCCGTACAAGTTCCTCCATTCTGACAAGGATTATTCTTGCAGCAGCCGTTCACGCATGTGACGTCACCATCACATGACGTCGCATGGTGTTTCTAAAAATTGATCAAACAATTTTTTTTAATTTTTCGCTTATACAGAATAATTGGAGTGACCAGCGTAAAAATACCTTTGAAAAAGACCCTCTGGCCCCGCTGCGTTCTTTAAAATTCAAGCATTGAACAGCATGGCACTAATTCCCTAGCAAGAAAAGTATGGCGAAGACGAATGTATTGTACCTTATCTTATCCGCTCCTTTCTTATCTTAATGGCTGACAAACCTAACACGGAATAAAAAGAATTATTATATGGCTGAGTTTGTTTTCGCCATGCGATAGGTCAATTTGCGGTCCGTAACTTGCTATACGGACTAAAATTTCAAAGAAAATGCTTATTTCGGAGGTCTAAATCTCTTCACCTCGGAAAAAAGGTTGAAATTAAGTTACAAGACGTCTATCTAGACGAGCAGCGAGGATCGTCTACTTCAAAGCTGCCTCAAAACTATCAACTGATCAAATTATGACTAAACTGGGCTTGGAACCTCTCTATTATAGAAGACGGACACACATTTTAAGATTTGTTGATGAGTGCATTGCAAATAGAGTTCCCAGATACCTTTCTAATTATTTCAATGTAAGAAACCGTGACATTCACCGCCACAAAACTAGAAATAATAATGACCTTATTTTGGAAAAAATTAATTTAGAATGCACCAAGCGCGCTTTTTTCTACAAAGGTGCGAAAATTTTTAATAATTTTTAATAATTCTTAGAATTTATAACTGTTCGATCTTTCGTTTGGTGTGACTATTTTGTAATTTTGTGATTTGATTTTTATCTATATTTTAAATCTTTTTTATTTTTATTTTTTTCATTTTTAATTTTTTACAGGACCTGCATTGATAGCAATTTTTTTTCTTAAAACTGAAGCAGCAATCCTGCATAAATATGTTTAAATTATTATTATTATTATTATTATTATCAACCTTGAGGACTTAGATTTTGACTCTGTCCTTCAACATTTTAAACTGTGTTTATTTGTGAGCGAAGGCGATGAAGAAACTAACTCGTGATCTTATCGAAGAGGATTCTAGTCAGTGTTTGAAAATAATTATTTTATCGTAGTACACAATTAAGAAGACGAAAATCGACTGGCAGATATTTGAGATGTTTTGCCTAAGAGAAAATGAGTAATTCCTTCGACAAAAATGATAACAAACATGCCTGCACCCGATCATCTTGACGAGCTTCTTTGTCATTTGCAGTGTTTTTCCAAAGACCAACGAAAGAAAGATAGAAGCGACTCCGAGCCAGACAAAATGTCCAGTTTTCAAAAGACTCCAGCGTCACATTGGCGAGTGAATACTTACAGTGCTCTTAGTTTTGACCGAATATACTTAAAAATATGTCTGCAAACCCTGAAGACTGGATCCTGACTTTGCCTTTCCAGATTTTAACCTAGATTTGTTTGAATGAGAACGAAGCTGATGTAGAAACTGAATCGTAACCTTTCCGTGGAAGAAAATATGGTCCGCGTTTGAAAATTTTAACGGAGATCACGCTTGAAGAAGAGAATGAACTGGCAGAAATTCGAGAGGTTTACCCAAAAAATTAACGAGCGAATCCTTCGACAATGACAACAAACCTACCTTGAAAAGCTTCTTTGCCTTTTGCAGTGTTTTTTTTTACAAGGATCAACGGAGGAACGATGGAAACGACGTCGAGAAAGTCACAGTGCCCGGTTTCCAAAATACTCCAGCGTTTCATTAAAGAGCTAAAACTTACAGCGCTCTTAGTTTTGACCAAATAAACTTTTTCAACATGGCGAATTTGTTTTCACTTTCTCGGAAACCCTTTGTATTATTGTTTTCGTGAGCCAATAAAAACTTTCGTGAGCCAATAAAAACTTTCTTGAAAAAAAAACTCGGTCGGTAATTTACAGTACAGACCGAAAACTCGGCTAATAAGAGGTATATACTTGGCTACCACTTGACGAAGGCTGGAATGCAGTGTGAGCTTGACCTGCTTGTAAGTCTAACGGATATAAAAACACGACCGAACAACGTACGGCAAAGGCCTAAACTGGTTAAAAGCGGAAAATGGGAAAGAATTGAAGTGATAAATAAACAAAGCTACCCTAGGGAGACATTGCGAATTTGCTCTTTGATGCGCGTATACCTTCCACTCCATACTCCCTAGCTCCAACGGCTTCATACGTATAACATCACCTTCTTTAAGTGTGGGCAAGTCACACGAGCATATTGGTTGTGGTACTTAGACTGCTCTGCCGCTTAGTCAGTTTTTGGATGTACTCGTTCACTCTGTGGGGCTCTAGGCTAAAGGAGAGTCTTCCTTGTGGGCAGGAGTGTTATTTTTCTCCGGTTCATTAAACGTTCAACAGCACTTGATTCCATTCCTTGTGTCGGTGTATTGCGCTAATCGAGAATTGCTATATACGGGTCTGTCCCGGCACTCAAAGCTTTGCGTAGGAGGTTGTTTGCTGTTTTCACTGTTGATTACTCTTTGTCGTTCGCTTTGCTGTTCCCAGGAGAGCTAGTTCTGTTCCAATCGTTAGCGAATTCACGAACCTCTGATAGCACAAATTGCGGGGCATTGTCGCTGACTAAGGGATCAGGGCAACCATAGCGAACAAAATGGTTCTTCAGCTTCAAAACTAGCGCTGTTGAGGTGGTACTTGTGAGCCAGTCAATTTCCCAGGAATTGCTGTCATAATGTACCGTGATCATGTACTCTTTTTTTTAGTTCAAACAGGTCAACTCCTACTTGTTCCCTAGTCTATTTTCAGTGACTGCTCTCATACTTGCGATAGGTCATAGAGGTTGCGATCGGCTCTTTTAATTCAGCTTTCATGTTCGGCCAAAATATGGTTTGCAGCGTGCTCTTCGTAAACATGATTCTGTGCCAGGGTGTGAAGCAAACAAATTTCGTTTCACGTCCTTTCGTAAACTGACAGAAACTACGATTTGTTACCCGCGGAATATCATTCCATTGCGTACCGACAACTCGTCCCTCAAGCTGAAGTAGGGGTTTATCTGCTCCGGTATTTGACTGCTATCGTCTGGCCAGCCAGATGACAGCTTTCAGGGTTACAAGATCTCGTCATTCTGAGTTGCTTTATGGATCTCTCGGAGTCTAGACGTGGATACAGGGAGAAAAACGGCTGCGTTGATGTTCTCAAATTCAGCTGCAGTTGGATGTACAGTGTTCGACAGGCATGCTCTGGAGAGTCTATCGGCCAGGTAAAGCTTTCTGTCACGCTTATACTGCACCTCATTATCATATTTCCGAAGTTTCATCATCATAACTTGAAGGCGTTTAGGCGCAAACGCGAGAGACTTCTTCAGGATGGATTCTAGCGGCTTTTGGTCGCTTTTTCGCGTGCATTTCCTTCTTAATTCGTGCATATCGTTTTTCGCAGTCTCAGTGAGCGATCGGTTTGCCTCTTTGTAGAGGGGTAGCCCCTAGGTCTTTCTTACTGGTATCACTTTTCAAGCTCCGCCTTTGGGTCGTGATAGCTAAGTAGTGAGGCGGTAGTCACAAAAGAAGCTTGACTTCTCCAGATGCTTTTTTCGTGCTTTTCCGTCCAGTTAAACTCGGTTTCTTGTCGTGTGAGACGGCGTGTTGGTTCCGTGTGGTCTGCTGGACGGGCAGAAACTTTGGTAAGTAGTTGACATATCTGTTTAGCCTCCAAAAGATCTCGCTTGATGCTGAAAGACCAAATGGGAATCTTTTCCACCTGTACATTCCGAATGGGGTTGCGAAGGTGGTCAATATACTAGACTCACGTCAAGCACAGTGCCAGTAACCGGCGGTAAGGTCGACGGTCGAAAAATATCTTCGCTCGAGCCATCTCTGGCATTAGGTTGTCTAGAATCGGCAGCTGATGAGCTTCTCTTCTTACGGCTTGGTTCAACGGACGTGGATTTATGCATATTCTGAGGGAATCTGACTTCTTTGTTGCAATAACAACACCGCTTACCCATGCCGTTCGCTCATCCACTTTTGCTAATACTCGTATCCTCTCTAAGCGGTCTGGTTCACCTTTAAACGTCTCTCTCAGGGCTGTCGGAATCCGTCGCGAAGGCGTTACGGAGGGTTCAGCATTTTTATCAATTCTTAGGTGGACCGTGCCAGGTTGGGCTCCCAGATCCTTCCAGAAAACATCTGGATAGTTGTGGATTAAGCTCGTCGGCGGTTGAAATGTATAGTTTTCTGCGGGTAGGCGGAACTGAGACAAAATCATCTTCAGGCACAGTTATCAGCACCATTTGTTATGCAGTACGTGTACCTATCAACGATGTTAAATTATCAGAAACAACGACAAATGCGATGAATGCTTCTTTCCAGTTTTGCAATTCGAGACTTTTTAGTGGGTAATCCCAAGGGGTTTCATTTCCGTTCTGTTCCACATCTTCAGCGTTCTGTTTGATGGGGTGTTACGTGACTTCCTATGGTGTGAGTTTTTGTGATGATATTTATCGAAGCTCCACAGTCCACGACCCTGTACTTTTTCTTTTGTGCAATTAGATTCGTTATGATGTCCTAATTGTCCCAGATCTGTTTGAACTGTTTCCACTTTTCGGCAATGTTAGTAGTGGTATCGGAACGTTTTGGCGGCGTTATACTTTGTATAAGTAGAGCCGTTTGCATACTGCTGCTCGTTTTGTCACCGGCCGGGAAAGAAATTGGAGCACAATTCCCCTGAGGTAGGACAACTCCATTGGTTACCAGTCTCATATCGATTTATTTTAAAGCTTCTTCTTTTTATGTATAAAGCTTCAATATCTGGCGGATCTTTTGCACCATCAGAAATCGTCAAGTACCCTATGTTCAAACTCGCGTGACTTACTCATGCAGCCAAAGTCAAGAACTAAGACCTATGGAGACAGGGCGTTTGCCGTTTGCGCCCCAAGGATTTGGAACTCCCTTCCTTTAAATATACATCATTCCAGCACTGTCCCATTGCTTGAGACGAATCTCAAAACGTTTTCTGACTCTTTGTAAGGAGTAATTCTTTAGTTTGTTAGTTTCACTTTTTGAGTTTATTAGCTTTCATTCTGAGTTTATTAGTCTAAGTTTTTAGCATACTAGTTCTATTTTATTTTTAATTGTTGTGAAGCACCTCGAGCAATTAATGGATGTGTGCGCTATATAAATGCACTATTATTATTATTATTATTATTATTATTATTATTATCATCATCATTATTGTCATTATTATTATTATTATTATTATTATTATCATCATCGTTATTACTATCACGATGTTCGGCTGAGGACTCTTTCGGGAACTTAAAATCAGTTACGTCGCCGCTGCCATCATGTTTCAATATTATATGTGTCGAGTGCGAGAGATCACCATAGTTGGCGTAGTACAGAGTTCTCTTCGATCAAATCTAAAATTATTGGTCATCGGACAGGAACATGATACATACAGTGAGCCAGTGCTATTGAAGTTCACTTGATGGACATTGTAACAGAAAGCAGGGTGAGGGACCCTAATCCCAATAAAACAGGGGCACCCAAAGTCAATTTTCGGAAAATATCTGTTCGGAAAACAATTTGAGATCTAGAATTATCGGAACATTTGTTGTAAAATGTCTTGCTTGTCTGCCTCTCCTAGGATTTTCGAACATCTAAAAAATAATATCATTGCCCATTTTTAACGGATTTTTAACCTTAAAAGGTCACCGAGAATTTTCGGGAGCCTTTTTTCTGGCTGAAAGTTTTGAAAAGGTAAGTTTTGATCCCTATAATTTTCGGATCACTAGACTTTCAGCTAGGAAATCCGAACAGATGAAAACTTTTAGGGGATAGAAATATGCCTATATCAACCTTTCAAATACTAAAATACGTTTAATGCTACGTCTAAGTGGTTTTGAACTATTTTCTCCTTGCCCCTCATAAAAGAAAGATCCAGTTATCGAAAATGTTGTTAATGTACTAAATTTTTTTGAACGAGGCTGACCTTGCAAGAACTCTATGCTTTTTTACATGGCGAGGATAAACGGGTTCTTGAAAGTGGTTCTATGAGTTACTTTGTTAATTTAGTCTTAACTTAGCTTATATCAGACCAGAATTCTCTCCTAGGCCTAATTCAAACGACGAACTTCGAACGAACTGAATTGAACCCACTGCTACAGAGCGAAAACAAGAGATTTTGCTCATAAGCATTAACTTCGACCAAGAAGCACAAAACTCGGAGCGCCGAAGCATCTTCTTGTACTCGCATAACGCCGTTTTCACCAACCAATCTATATTCTAAAAAACAGTCAGCAAAAACTGTTTTATAGACCTGATAATTGTATTTTGACATTTGGTTTTATTTTTTCTCAAATTCTCTCGCAGACATGGAAAAAGTGCTTTTAACTTTGTTTTAAAACATAAACCGGTCCGTGAAAAGGCCACACTAGGCCCAGCATAGCAGTTGCTAGCTCCAGGTTATGGTTCGACTCATGTGAGCTTGGACGTTTGCCCCGGCGTCCCTTAGATAGCCGTGATATGTTAAAAAACGGTGGGGCTGAAAAACATCTAACTCCGAGGACATATGTTTGCAAAGATGTATTGTAATAAGTTTTTATACCTTTTGGCTGAATTCTCTTCGAAGGTTGTAATAGCGTGAGCCCGGAGAATGTTTGAGAGAGCTCTCGTTTGTATAGTGGCTGCCTTCATTTAACTCGCAAGCTTTTCTTTCGTTATTTTCCTTGTAGTTGAACGACAAACACCGACAGTCATCTACACACCACATGTGACACTGAATTGGATTCATCGTTGCAGACTCATGAAAGACATGGCCAACTAATTCTGAGTTCTCCATTGCATCTCCGTTGATATCTAGCCCATATGTTTGGCATTTTCCTAGACTACAATGCGATTCGGCTTCAGTGAGTTTCCAAAAAATTGGCAAAAGCGTCAAAATCATGGTTTATGTTAAGTTATTTTACATGGCAACTTGAGTTAATCATTTCGTTGTCCTTAAAGCGGCTAAGGTCAAAATAAATTATTCATATACTTTATTGTGCCGAAATTTGAAATGACGACCATTCCCTGGTGTGACAAGTCCATTCGAAACTTTTATGTAGCTAATAATAGCTAGAATCGGAAATGTATGCAAAGGCTTTTTTTATTTCACCAATCTAGCCGAACAACTAATGCTGTTGTTTTACCTGTTTGCAAGAAGCGGGGGTTCTGCAGACAAATCAAAAACTCGCAACACTTCAAAGCTGAAGTTTATGATACACTAAAAGTAATGATTTGTTTTAATGATTTGAGTTGAGTTCTATGAAAACCGGCTTGAGGTCAGTAAACAGAAAATATTGTCAGTAACTCAATTTTTCTATTATTCTACCAGATCAGGCCTTATTTCAGTTTCACTTGGTACAAAATTGGCTGATGTGACCACCAAAATTAGACCTTCTATTCAGTAACCCCCAACAGCTTTTCCAACATGGTGTGCCCACTCTGCTTTTCCTGCAATATTTGAATGCTTGAGGTCAATTAAATAAAATCAGACGAAAATGGTGTAATTTACAATTGTCATTAGTGCGTTGTTTACAGCGGAACAAGGGCTTCACCTGTACAGATTACGTGTTTAAAAACTTCTAGTCGGTTCTAAGTAAAGTCACATGATGCCCAAATACGGTTATTTGACAGGGGCACCCAACGAGAATATAGTTCAAAACCACTTAAACATAGCCGTTGTTAAACGTATTTTAGTATTTAAACAGTAGATAGAGGCATATTTTTATCCCCTAAGAATTTTTCATCTGTTCGGATTTCCTAGCTGAAAGTCTAGTGATCGAAAATTATAGGGATCAAAACTTACCTTTTGGAACATTTCAGCAAGAAAAAAGGCTCCCGAAAATTCTAGCTGACCTTTTAAAGGTAAAAATCCGTTAAAAATGGGCAATTACACCATCTTTTAGATGTTCGAAAATCCTAGGAGAGGCAGACAAGATCTCAAATCGTCTTCCAAACGGATATTTTCCGAAAATCGTCGCTGGGTGCCCCTGATTTGACTAAGTCAGTAACACAAGCAGACATTACTTTCTGATTTCAAAATTAGTGCTTGGAATCTAATTTCCTTACTACAGTTACCATCTTTTCATTGTTTTTGTTTTTTCGTTTTTTGAAATCTAAAACGTTTACTTTTAGTACAACTTTTTGTGCAAGAATTCAACAGAGATTGTGGTATACTTAGCCTCGCTTTAAAACAGAAGCTTGAGGCAGCTCAAAAATGGCCTACTTACATCCATCAGAGTATGAACCAGACCAAGATTGAAGAAATCAAACACGAAGGAACAAAAATAAGTTTGTGCAGCTGGAAACAGGTGTCAATGAGAAGGAACCTTGTAGCCACAAGAGGACCAGGCGCCAGTCAGCAGCTACGTCTGCGAATATTCATTGCCTTAATTTGTCAGGAGTCGCGTATCTAAGCTGCTTACTATATACTAAGACAAGATAGAAGGCTGCGGATGGCTGTGGTTATATTATGTGCCGCACCTTACGTTTTGATTCAGTTTCCTTATAAGGGTCTCTGCCCAGCGGCCGTGAATGATCCTAATTATGCCCTGTCGTCAAGTGGGGCTGAAAATAAAAGAGAAGGCATCGTTTCACTGGCCATCCAGCCAAAATTAAGTAGTGTCGTCAGGTCCAGACGAACATCGGTGTAATGGATTAACAGTGTCACAACTACCAAAGTTGTCTTCGCTGTAAACTGCAATAGTCTTTACGTTGAGTTCACAGATATTTGTGTCACTGTCTGTGTGTAAGAAAATTTCAGCTTTTCCATACCAGAGTGGTGCGGTACAGTTAAAACATTCGTGTCCCCGGATGTTCATAAACTCGAACTGGTGGCATGTACCTGATTGGCTCTGTGGGATAAGTATGTTGAAATTTGCCAGGGATGTTCGCATGTAGTCCATCGGTGTCATAACGACAAGTGGCCCACCAATGAGTGGACTGAGATCCCAGCCACGTAAGGTATGCTGGGCGTATTAGATAAGCCTGCCAATTTGGTTGGTCACCACTAACTGCACTCGCATCATTGTAGTCATAGAAAGCAACAATGCCCTAAGGATTACACAAGTATAAGTAGATAGGTACAACAAATGGTGTTTGGTTGGCCCTTGGCACTTGTCGCATTCAGAGGGCAAAGGTGACTGATAGGAAAACGCGCAGCCTAAACCTCTTATTTTGTCTCGAAAGTGTATGGTTAAGATAAGATGGCTGAAACCAACTTCCGCCACAAGAAAAAATTTTCTTGTGACGCTAAAGCAAGGAATCCCGAGTTGGCAACGGTTTAAAAAACCCCAGACGCAATATGCAATATTTCAGGCCTCGTTTGTCCAAAAGATAAATTACTATCCAGTGGATATGTATTAAGAAAGTGTCCACAAAATATACAAAAACTTTTGTGTAACGCAATCTTCGTGTAATAGTCCAAGTTTTCTTTATACAGTCAATGATTAGGTTCTAGGGAAAAAAGTTGTTTCGAGAGTGCACCCTGCCTCTTCTTCAGTTTTGAAAGGCGTAGACAAGAGCGCCCGGTGATGCATTCAATGTTTCTCTTGTCATATCGTGTTTTATTTTTCTTTGAGTTTTGTAGCTGGATAAAGCTATTTTCGTGTTATTTGAACTGGGTTTGGTTTTTCCCTCCTGTGGTACCAGTTTAGGTTGAATGTAGCTTGAAACAGAGGTAAAACTCTCCTCCCGGTTTATCTGGGTCAAGCTGTCATTCCTCGATCTTTTCTGGTGGCCACAGCGGAGTAATTTCCATCCGCAACTGGAGCGGGGGCATTTTGAACAGGAACGTCTATTCGAAGATCGTTAAAATGTCTTGAGGATGAACATTGGGTGGGCGTGCTTTGAATAGGCGGTGGAGATTCGGCCATGACGCGTGCACGACGGAGCTAAGGAAAGTTGACCGCCCTGTGAGATGCTATTAGACAAATGCACACAATAGCAAGAGTAGTGGTAATATATACAACGCTAGGAATTGTGGGATATCTATTGTTATGAAAATATTCTTGCTTTATTTCCGGTACTGATAATACAGTATTGCAGGAGCTGCTCGTAAAGTGTTTCCCCATTGGTCACAGAAGACAATGACACATCATTGTTTATCATTATTTCCCATTGTTTCACGGTTAGGGTATCGAACCAATTGGCTTTTAGGATTAGGAGAGCGTCACTTATGAGAGCTGCTACATCCAACACATAGTTGGAGGTAACCGCCACTGTCTTGCGTTCAGCTCAGTCAAACGTTCTATTTCAACGCTAGATGTTTGGTTGACGTTGTGTTTCTTGCAGCTGGCGCGAGAGAAACGTCTCCTCATTAACTATACCTGCAGATCGGGAAGAACGAAGGGTTACCTGGGGCGGAAATTCGACATTTATCAGGTGCCCAACGAAATGCAATTTGACTCTAGCCGGAGGAATATCAAATTTGTGATCTGGTTGGGAGCAGCATGAAGCACAAAGCGTAAACGCTGGCTTAAAGTCATGCAATTAAAATCAAGCATAGCTACCAGCAGAATAGGAGATTGGCTATCAAAGCCGGCAAAAATAAAAATGACGTCATTCGTTGAGCATTGCGGTAATCGGTACCAGAACAAGCCAGAAACGAGGCTTGTGTTCTGTATAAAGCTGTCCACTTGATCTTTGATCTAGTCTCAGTGTTTAGCGCGTTTTCAAGTAAGTGACAAGCAGCTATGCAGATTTTTTGCGACAAAAGAAAAGGTTTACAGAATAGAGTTCAACTCCCACAGGACTGGTTAGGGACACAAACATGGCGGAATTGACGTCATGTGAATCCCTGGAGGGGGAAGCGGGAGACGTTATGGGGGTAGGCTTAACTGTAAATGCTTTACTTGATTGGATTAATAGAATCATCGTCAATAAAGTGCAAAGGTTATGAAGCCCGTGAAACATTTTTGGAATGGACTGTACTTAACGTTTAATAGCATCACTAGAGAGCTCTAGATTCATTCTAAAACGAGAACGACTACGAGTACGCGATTTTCTTAATAGTAAGTAGTGCTGGCGCGTGAGGCAGCGTCCTTTTGGTGGAAAAACGTGCTAGCCGTCGTCACTCTACTACGAGTTTTAGCGAGAGTGTCGTAGTAGCGAAAACAAGTGATAAAATCTTAGAAGTTTTAGCATTTTTCAATCGGGAGAGGTCTCAACCTCCTTCAATAATGATAGCAGTGCTCACTTTTCTGGCGCAAAAAAGTGCAATGACGCTTTCCGGGATTTTTTTTTGTTTGACAAAACGCAAAACACTTTAATTCAAATCCCGTACTCGTAGTCGTTTTCGTCCTCGAATAAGGTCTCTACTATCATTTAGAACTCAGTGACCAATTCACACGCAACTTTTCAATGTTTTCGCCCTGTTCACACGGAACTTTGAACGGCTAGGCGTCTAAATTTCAAACGATTAAGGTGGTTCCGTGTGAACGCAACACCTAAACTCACAAATACTCAACCGGTCGAAATTCGTCCGGTGCCGTGTGAAAATAACCTGAGTCAAGTCATTTTAATATGTCTCCAAGAAACCCACATATCATATAGCGATTTTCGTATGACCTTGAAAAATGGTTTAGGTAAGTGTTCGTTATTTGTTTTATCAGCCAATGGAACAAAACATGGCCTCTTCGTTTTCCCGCCAAAGAAAACCCTAATATGGAGAAGACATTGTTCGATTGACCAATCTGTTGCAGTATGACGTCAAAGCGAAGTATCGATTGATTCTAGAAGTTCTCAGGCATGAAGTTTTTTCACCCGAAGGCGATCGCTTAATCAACCAAAAGCCACGCGCGTTTGTATCCGCTCGTTGTTTCTGTTTCGTTCGCGCATTTTCACTGTCAAGGTCGTACGAAAATCGCTCTAACACCTGAATTCGAAACTGGAAAAGACAGCTAACTCCAGAAACGCCGGCAAAAATCAAAATTCGATGTTTAATCATATCTCTACCCATCTTATATCTTAACGCTATGTTTTTACTTTGATTATAAATATTTTAGAAGGAAAACCAGCGGTATTCAGTCTACTAGTTGACAACACGCCTGACGGCTATCATAATACTCATCGCAAAGAAATTTTCCCCGGTATCGCTGATTTTTACCCTAAAATCTATTACAAAAACCATTTTGCCTATTTATTCTTTAAGAATATGGCTAAAGAAAACGATAACTTATAGTCTGATAAAAAAAAAAAAACGCGCATAAAACATTATTTGAAGTTGACTATTTCTTAAAACCGTAGAAACAGAGGAGTGTGTTATTCACGGTACGAAAAACCGCGCCAAAATATTCGTATCATAAACGCAGCTTTATATTCAGGGAAGAAACGACAGTTCATTTTCAGTACGAAAAAAGATATAGTTTCAATAACGTATTATTTGTATTCTCTACGATAAAGGTGATCTTAGCTGCTTCAATTTCACTTCCAGTGTTGCACGTCTTTCCATTACCTGCAAAAAAGACCAAAAAAATGAGAAATTAAATCGTCTAAGGGCCCATTCGCAGTGATAATTTTTTATCAGGAAGTTTAAGATACCAAGATGCAAAAGTGAATTCGCCTTCTTTCAATCTCTACCGCGATTATTCCAACTGACTTACTTTGTCAAATGCAAGCGAACTCTTTTGGAGTTGAAGAACCATATCCGAGTTCAGAAAGAGAAGAAAAAAAAAATCGTCATCTCTTGCTTACGTCCTCACTTCCGTAGCTCCATCCACACGTATCCGGATATTTTTGACTCTGCAACTTTTTCTCTCTGGATTCGGCTTCCGTCCACACGTTGCCGGTGAATCCGCGATACGAATCCGAACCTTCTTGAATCCGCTTTCCAGAGTGGAAATGTTTGAATACGCTACGAATCAGCAAGATCGACCCCTGGCCCCAGTTGTTCAAAAGTTGGATGCTATCCACCGGATAATAGATCACTATCCACGGGATAACTCTAATGGTTTCCCTAATACTTATCCGTTGGAGAGTGATTTATCCGGTGGATGGCGCGATCCAGCTTTTAAACACCTGGAGCCAGTTCTTTACCATGAATATTCAAGATAGTGCCGAGGCCTATTTCCCTTTCGTAAACGATCGCTGCCATTTTTAACGGTCGATGCCACCATTGGTAACCAAGCCTTGAGCCAAAATGGATGTAATATATTGTCTGGATTAAGTTACAATAAGGCAAATAATACGTTTCTGAACAGTCTCAGAAAGAACGAAGTTGAACGGCCCAAGCTGAATTTACGTTAAAAATTATGGAAAGAGCTAGGGACACCTGATATTGATGTAACAGTTAAGAAAGAAAGTTTGCTAGTGTATGTACTTAAATGTATCGGAATTTTGGCGGGTCGGTGTGGTAATGTAGTGGTAAGGGAGAGAGATTAGGATACGAAAGGTCTGGGTTCGAGGTCCAGGTTCTACCCTGGGTTGCGATTTTCTTTCTTTTTAGTAGAAACGCTTTCAATAACAGGGTAAAAATTTTCTAAGTGTCTTAAAGATAGCAGCGACCTCTTACGAAAGGGACAACTGCGGTGCCGAGCGCAATGTTACTTGGACTTCAGTTTCAAGTCTTATAACCTGTGTACAGTTAAACCTAACTAAGATTACTGTACACTTCAATTATGAAGTCAAAAGGTGGCTCTACATTCTAAGGCTTCTTTCCATGTCGGACGGACAATTGGACGACGTAAGCAAGTTGAACGAGCGAGCTAGTGCTTAATGGGACAATGTTGTCGGCGAAACAGTTATTGAAGAGGAATGGCGACAACATTTTCGCATGAGCCGAGGATCGCTTTAAAAATTACCTCACGAAATGAGAGTGAATTTGGATAAGTGTAGACGGGCAAATTCGATTTGAATACGTTACGTGCGGACGTGGAAATTTTGGAATCCGCAAAGAAAAATTTGCGGTTTTAAAACGGCTATCCGGATACGCGTGGATGGGACCTAAGACTATTTCGTTTTTGATGTTCTCGTGCCGAAGCCGTCGCCGTTTTGGCAGCAAAAACTCCCTATTTGGTAGTGGAACCCGGTTTGTATAATTGTCCATGCAGGTGTCCGTTGAAACCTCAGGGTTGACGGCAAGGACACGCTTATTTTCTGTACAAGAATACAGAGTGACGTCTAAAGTCATAACTGTCAACTAAGCTCAAAATGATGAAACCTCTCCCCATTCAACTGAATAGTTTTGTACTGAAATTAAGAGTGACCTTACGAAACTCCGATGGCGCCCGGTGCGGTAACGACAACTGAAACAAACACGGCGACGCGATCCCGGCTAAACCTTAGGAAAGCTAGTGGAGGAGAAAACTTTCCAAGTAACGCTTTCGTTGCCTTTGTCGTCGAAGTTGCGTTAACTCCCTTATTCACGTTTTCAGAGGGAATGTTGTGACAAGGTTCTTACAGGTGAAGTAAAGCGTACCGATTTTAATTCCTCCTGAAGTTCACTGTTAACTTTTGAAAGTGCAGCGTTTTTCTCTCTTAGATCACCGATCTTCGCATTCAATTTGTCCTCCTTGGTTAAGGGTCTAGAAAGGAAAACAAAGCAAACGCATTAAATTCCACACATTGCCGCTACGATGGTTGGGAAAATTTCCTCAGTCAGAATCATAATTTATTATGGAAACCAGCCTTTACCCGTGAGGCCTGGTATCCACATACAATTTGGCCGAATTTATACTCCGAGAGACGAATTATCCGCCTGAGACGGATAAATCATCTAGCGCTGACGGACGAATCAAGTTTGTCTGAACACCGGATTTATATCTAGACGATTTATCCGTCTCAGACAGATAATTCTTCTGGCCCCAGTTCGACATTGTCCAGACTGATCTCCATTCTTCTCAGTTGACAGAATTTGATAAAAGACCAAAGCTATTAAATAAACATTAAATACTTAGGAGGGCTTGAGGAGGGCTAATAAACGGGGGAGGGGGCGCTTATAACCGGACTAAAAGAGTGTTTCAAAACAAGCTACATAGCAGAGCTGATCGCTTTTTTAAGTTTCAAAACGTCGTAAAAAAGTCGAATTCGGTGACACTATACGATTCACCCACAGTTCTAAAAGGTATTGAAACTACGTGCCAAGTAAATTGGGAACAATTTAGGTTTCTCGGACACTGCCCACCTACCCCTCCCCTAAATCAACATTTTGCCGCAAACGAGGAGTAAGTATTCATGTTGGCTTAGGGGAGGGGTAGGTGGGCAGTTTCCCAGAAACCTAAATTAATCCGTAAATTGTACCACGTGAAAGTAATACTTAAGAGACTAATTTCTATGCCGGAATGGTAACACCTTAGGATTTCAACCACAGACTCAAAAATTAGATCTAAGAATTAAATAAATAGTACCATGTGAAAGTACTGCTAACAGCTGAGTTAAGCGGTTTCATTTGAATGGTAATACCATAGGAGTTCATTCACAAACTCAAAGTTTAAATAACGTGGTACATAAAAGGTACCATATAAAAGTACTGCTGAAGAGGTTTCATTTGATTGGTAAGACCATAAGATTTAATTTACAGTCGCAAATTGAAAAGTTAGAACTTCATAGTAAATAAATACAGTAAAAGCTCTATTAAAAGCGGACACCTTCGGGACCTTCCCAAGTGTCCGCTTAGTAGAGGTTTGTAAAAATTGCGCAATGTTCGCTAACGATTAACATTCAACGGTTACTCTGAACTGTGATAAAGTTCCATGTTGTTGAGGAAGCTAAGGAAGCTGTGCTGTACTTTGTACAAGACTTTTAGGTGAACTTTTCACAGCTAAATGTAATGATTTATCTTTATCAATCGACTACAGTACGTATTTCAAGGGCGTAATCCAATGCTACTATTGTCAATTCAGTCCGGTGTCCGCATAAAAGAGGTTTTTAACAACAGAAATTAGCCAATACAATTTATTTTAGTGTCCGCGTCCGCTGAATAGGGGTTCATTATAAAGGAAAATATAAGACGTTAATTTCGGGACCCGGCTTAGTGTCTGCTTAATAGAGGTTTCACTGTAGTACCATGTGAAAGTACTGCTGAAGAGATTTCAGATGAATGGTCACAGGGTTAAACTTACAGACTCAAAAGTTAGAACTACATCAGCTGAAGGGGGTTTAATTGAATCGTCACAATATACGATTATATCCACAAACTTGAGAGTTAGAACTAAATTAATATAAAAAGTGTTCACAACTGACTCGTATGTTAAAGTGCAGAACAACATGCGTCACTATAAACTGGGTTAGTAGAGTCTCAGAGGAGCTTAGCATACCTCACTACAACTTTTGGAGGCTCTGTTTTTCGTTTTCTTTCTTTTTCGCCATCTTTCTCTTGTCTTCTACCTTGCTTTAGGGTTGGAGGACTCAAAGGTTTCTTTGGAAAAAGACAAAATTAAGAATTTCACTAAAGATACATGTGTAATGAACAGGCAATAAACTTTCCAGCCATTATCAGTGTAGAGAGAGGGACTCACTGCATGCGTCCACTACTACGCGTGCTCTGTTTACAGTAAGCCATCGCGGCTGTTGATGGGGGATCAAGAAGTTATCCCTCTATTTTAAAAGATCTCTCTCTACAGATTAGCCACCCAATAACAAGGGCAGCACACTAGGGGTGACACTAACAGAGACTTCTTACGCCCCATTTGTGGCTCTTTTCACACTCAACCGGGAATTAGATTAACGCGCCGTCCACACGAATACGGACACTTTTGAAACCACATATTTTTCACCCGAAATCGTGTGGACAAGGACTCAAACTACTCTGAAGAGCAGTTTCAAAAATGATGCGGTTTAGGTGGGTGAGGTAACAGGTTTCGTGTGGACGCAAGGTCTATTTGCGTAAGGCCATCCCCATGAAATGTTTCGTTTCCCATCGCCCTCCCTCTCGATAAGGTGGGTGGGTCGGTCGGTCGGTCAAAAAAAAAAAAAAAAAAAAAAAGGATGAACACAATAATGCATATTAAATCTCACGTTTAGTCTGCAAGATATAATCAGATGGTAAAAGATGTATATTAACAGGACTATCAAATGTCTAAAAAGGCTAAAAAACGAAGTATCGATGATAATTTAAGACAATTGGTGTTAATAAGACAAGATCGTGTGCTTGTAAATTAAAGTACTTGCTTCTTTACAAGTGATTCTGGAAATTTTCTTTTTTACTTTTCCAAAAAATTAATATGGGTCAGTCGGGCGATGGGAAACGAAGCATTAAATTGGGATGGCCTAAACTGAAAAAAAATCTCTGGTTTCAATAATTAATGGCATTCATGTGCACTGTGCCGAAGGAGTCGTTTATATGGAGAAAAAGGGTCCCTACCACTAAAAAAATAGTCTCTGCGGTCCCTGAGATTGACGGTTTTTGCAATGAGACTGGGTTACAAGAAAATAGGGGGATAAGGAGGAATGCTCACCCGAGAAAATTTGAATTTTCTGATGGTCATAAGCGTTAGTTTTTGCATTGCATCATTACAGATTCCGTCACTGCAAAACTTTAAGGGATTTCTTTGGTGACTCCCCCTCATTTATCTGCCTCCTTTAGAGGCATCCAATTTGGCATAGTCTCCCTTAAAATTCCACCAGCCCCCTAGCCCGACCTGACTAAAAATGAACGGGCCCTTATTACCATCAAAACTTTCAAACTCCATTTTCCTCTGTTTATAAACATACATAGCTGAAAACGTGGCGTTAAGATACCACTAAGTACATGAAATCCAACCTACCAACTTAGGAACTGGTCTGGGTAAAGCCTCTTGGTTATGGGATGGTTTGTTTGGTGTTGTGGTTACTAAAAATAAACGAATTTACCGTTAATCAAGTTTTTTACTCGTCAGAAAGAAAAGCAAATACCCTAAACACTGGAACGAACGTCTTTGCTCAAATAAATAAACAAATAAATAAGTAAGTAAAAAATAACGATTTAGAGGTAGCACATCTACAAAACGGTTCTTCGTGTACAATTCCTGTTCGGACTGGAATTTAGAAGTGTTGTGTTGCTTTGGTTTTTGAGGAGACGAGAAAACAGGAGTACCCGGAGAAAAACCTCTCGGAAAAAGGGAGAGAACCATATATGGCGTGGAGGTCTACCACGTTTATGGAAGGAATTTCAGAGTCAACTTGATGTTCTACAGTTTCTGACACACTAAGTTAAACGTACAACCATACGTACTTCTGTAAATGTACTTAGCACATGTGAAAGCAACAAAAAGCCTCACCTTCAGTGGCAGCGTTCTGAGGAATCGTAGACCACGCAACATCCTGAAAGGGAAAACAAAGTTGAAATTGTTCCTTTATTTGTAGAGCTTTTTAGCATTTGGGAAACTTAGAAATGTTGGGTGAAAGAAGATAATTCAGACATTACGTTGATATTGTTCCAGTTGGTTTAATATGGAATTTTCAACTGCACAGCCCAGGAGGTCCAGGGGGTGAAATTTTGAAGCTACATTAGTTAAATCCTGACCGTTTTGTCGTTGTTGTTTTACGGAGTACGTCAAAGAAAAGATTAAGAAATAAAACCCTTGGGAACAGGCTATACTTTTCTCTATCAATCCTATCGTTTTCGCGTCGTTCTCGTGGCTGCGCTTAGTCTCCTTTGCATCGGTTCTTGGCCAAATATGGAGAGATTATTTCTTTTCGAGTGGGTAAACGATAAAACACTTTTTCGCCTGGGCCTTTTCTCGCGTATGGAATGCAAGAACTGGCACGGTTTAGCACAAAAGGGGAAACATTTGCGTACAGAACAGTGGAAAACATTTCCCAACAGCAATAAAATTTTCCAGATTTGCCAAGTCAATAAACTTCGAGTGGTTGGTCTACTTTGCTCAGGGGGTAGTAGAGCGAACCACAAAAGCGAGCGCGAGTGAAAATTATCCGCCCGCGAAGGGAGGCGTCGCGAATCTCTCCTCCGTCACACGATGCCTCTCCTTGCAGTGGCGACCTTTACGAGCGCTTACGCATTTGACTGACTCTCATATCCCCAAGGAAATTAAGAGACCACTCGTAGTCTACCAGGTCATTACCAACGTATCATCTTAATAAGAAGAAAATAATCTTACGTGCGAGTCATCCAGGGAAAACGACCTTTTATGTAGCTTGGGTTGAGGCGACGATACTTTTCCTTCTTCTCCATTTACTGTTTCTTGTGCTTCCACAAAACTTTCGAATCTGCTGAAGTCCGCAAAATCTTCCTGCCGCTGTACTTTTTCGCTTTCATCGGCTGCCTCGCTGCTGCTAGAATTCTCCTGTCCATTTCTCGGCGTGGAGGGTTCGCTTTTCACAGGGTGACCACTGTCACCAGTCTGTCAGATGATTTGGTACATTGAATAATGTCAGAATAACTAGAACCCCACAGGGTGTACATGCTATTGTTTTATTTACCAGAGATAAGACTACGGTAACATGACTAAGGCTGTGTCTATACTATATTTTACGATAACTGATCGAATCCTCGCGCGCTGATTGGTCGAGAGCTATGGTCTATGAAAGTATAGACCATGGAAATGACGTAACATGTCACGCAGAGCCGGTTGTTTTGTTTCTGGTTTTTCGTAAAAAAATAAATGTTATTGTAAAAAACAAATAGTCCACAATTTTCCATGGTTTACCCTCTTATTCACATTTTTTTTGTTACCGTAATCGTATTTGTCCAAAGCTTGATATAGGTAAGCACTCGACTTCTTGTTGAAACCTAATCTATTTTAAACGGGAGATGGGTGTGGCACGCTGTCGGGTCAAAGGGTATCGGACAAGATAAAATAGCAGTAGTAACCAAAAACGAGAATGAATAAAGAGAGAGTTCAGAGTTTTGGACAAAATTCAACCTAACTTGTGCGCTGATGCTTGTTACCAATTCAGCAGCTTGTGAACATTATTACAGAGACAAATACAAACCTGACTTGAATGGCTTGATGACTGGGATGATGGTGGTGTTCCTTCAACAACAAACATAAACAAGAGATATCAGAGACTCGTCCCTAAAACAGGGATGCAGGCATAAAGCAAAGCAGGCGACTGGTTATGGGTAACTACTACGACTAAAACTCCCGTGGAAAAGAAGTTATTTTTTCACTTTGTGCTTGGAAAGTAAATGCGAGCCTGCGTGTAGTCTTTGGGTTGAACCATTGACTGTACATAACAAAATGAATATACAGTCCACTCTCTCTTACCAGACACCTCTATAAGACGAACAACTCTCTAGGAACGACAACAGCCACTTTCGAAACCGTCAACGGACACTTGAGAAGTGCTTTATGCAATGAAAAGTACCACAAAACAGACTACATGAAAGTAAACTGCAAAATTTAATTTTTCTAGTCTTGCTCCAGCTCGCAGTGTGCTGATATCCTTTAAGATCAAGAAGCCGTGCACGTTTTCTTGTAATAAAGGACTGACTGCACAATAGAAATGATTCCACTTTTTACTGTTTTGCACAAGTAAAGCAGATGTGTATTCATTTCGAATAGGTTCAGTTTTAGTTTCTTAAAATCACTGGTGTCACGTTACCTCGACTCTCCTCTCTAAAACGGACAGTCAGGGCCGGCCACGGACGTGTCCGTCTTAGAGAAAGTTGACCGTACTGTGTTTTGATTACCTCTATTCTCCTTGGCCTTTGCTGCAAACAGTTTGTTTAGATCCAAAGAAGACGACCTGGAATGACCTTTCTTTCTAGGGGGTGGGGGAGGAGGTTCTCTCCTGCCTTCAGATGAAACACTGCCCTGACTTTCATTATCTCCAGGAGAGGTCGGTGACGCGCAATCATCCTGATTACTAGTTTGCACATCCCCGGTTGATCTTGGTCTCTCCCCGCTTCTCCTGTTCGCTCGAAAAACAACTTCTTTACTAGCATCCTCCTTAGTAGGTTCTTCCTCTTCTGCCACCCGTGGGGGAGTGGGAGGGGGTGACGGGGTCTTCCTTTCCCCGGGGGAGAGAGGTGAAGTGGGTGTCTCGTCCTCAGGTGAGGATGGAGGTGAGGATTGGTATATAAATTTACTGGTGGGTGTCCACCCATCACGGGTTTGTTTTCCTGATGGCGGCGGTAACAGCTGACCAGGAAGGGCGTCAAGCAAGCTGGGTTTGACAGCTGCTCTTGGTCTGGCTATCTCTATTTCTGCAGTTACTGCTTGACTCGGACTTGTTGGCCCCGTTTGAGGTACTTCAGTTTGCTGAGTATGAGGGGACGGCATCACAATATGCAAAGGTCTTATGGGACTGTTAGGGCTGCTATCACCTCTAACAGCTTGTCCATCTGCAGCATCGTCCAATGAAGATGATTCAGAATGGGATCTTGGTCTAGCAGCCCCATGGTCTTCGTCTCCTTGGATATCACTCAAATGCGGTACTGGTTGAACCAATGAGCGCTACAAAAACATACCGACACGATTAGACTACAAAACAGTCCGCATTTTTGCGTATTCAAGTACGCGCGAGCAGTCAAACAAAAGGTCTGGAACGAGGCTGAAACAGAGAGCGAGACTGGTGTGAGATTCGCGCGCTTCGCGCGCGTAAGACTCTTACGCTACGCTTTACCGATTTCTTTACTGATTTTGAGAAAAGAACCGACTGTTTTGCAGTCTACGACACGATTGATAAACCGACCGCTCATGGATCTTCACACCAACGATAGGCAAAAACACTTTGGGGGTCAAACTGATGTGAAATTAGAACTAAATTCCCTCAGTCACATTTCGCAGGTTACCGGCTAAAGCCAGCGCTCTTCCCATTGCTTGCTTGATGGAATCCTCTTCTAACTGATTACGACTTCTAAGGTTGGGTGGCAGTGGAAAAATGGTAAATCAATACACCTCTCAGTCCTGACCTTAACAAGCCTCCAAAACATCAGAGCCCGATACGGAATACACAGCCTCTCCAACATCCTCATTACCAAACTTTAGTGTCGTCTCAAAACTGAGTTTAGCCTGTTTCTACACATTCACTACCCACGAAGAAAACCAAGCCGGTATTTGAGATATTTTCACTGCAGAATAACATTATCTCACCTCGATCACAAACAGGTGAGGATATGAAGAAATTTATTACATGTATAGTTAATATTGAGGTGAACAAACTTACTGCCTTCCTTTTAACAGCAGAGTCATGATTTATCTTTGCAGGCGATGGTGCAGCATTGCGACCAAGAGAATCACTAAAACGTTGCCAGTGCTGTGCAGACAGACAGATAGAAGTGCAACACAGTGTACAAAGTGCTTAACAGTGCTTACACTGCAACTTGCATTAAACAATTGATTCATAGGTCAGCGTGCGTATATTGAGCTAAGAAGCACGATTAAACGTTGAAGAGCATGACAGAGGTGTGAGAGTTAATTGAGGTGCTATAGAATTTGATTTGGCATAATTATGGTAAGTTTTTTAAGTTTACGGTCAAGTCGCCCGAAAGTCATTTCGCCAGAAAAAAGATTTATGTCGCCCGAAATTTTATCATGCTCAACAACATCCAAACATCTTAATTGCGCCTGTTCCGTTTCACCAAATCTTTTAGAAAAAGATATATTACTCATTTATCTCGCTTGTTTCGTCTCATAGCATCGTTGTTTAAAGAACGAGACTTTATTACACAATTATCCTGCTTGTTTCTTTTCACTATTGCTAGAGCGAGATATATTTCATAAATTCTTTATTAAAATTTCGGGCGACTTAACCAAATACTTCGGGCGGCATAACTCTGGTTTTGGGTGACATGACTTCTGGCGAGATGACTTTCGGGCGACTTGATCGTTACCGTTTACACACTCTGATCAAAAAGCTAGCCCATGGAAACTTGGATGAGCACCCTTTTTTATGACGAATGATAAAGCCAGAGATAATTAAAAGGAAAGGAAAGTAGAGGAAAAGAATTGAATTCTTATTCATAAAATAAATGGAGCAGACACTAATTCTTCTAAAGTGTTGCTGACCCAACAAAATTAGGCAAAAAAATCTACCCTTACTATGAACAAACAATCTTAGACTAGTCGAACTACATGTATACAAAAGAAAACTACAAGAAATTAAGAAATTAAATTCAAGCTAATGTAGAACAAATACAGTACACTACACAACAACAAAGGCAAGAAACAAAAAGAAACTTACATCAGGAGAGGAAACATTCTGTAGCTCTTTTTGTTGTTCTTGTTCAGTTCCTTGGACCTTTTCAAGTGGATGGACTGGGGCTAAAGAAACAAGAACCAAACAGGCTAAAATGGTGCATGATTTCCAAATTTGATGACAAATATCCAGACTTTCTTCCCTATTCTTCAAACAATTAGCACAATAAAAATTTTCCACTTAGAAAATACATTGCCCATATCAGATCATGCACCAAGCTCAGTTTGGAACTTCATTTATCTTTGATAAATAAGTAGATAAATAAATAAGGGCATAGAATTACAACCCAAGTAACCTGTGATCTAATACCAAATTCGCCTTTTGATTCTCAAGTATACACAAGATAAATGGAAGGAGAATCTAACATTCTATCAGAAATTAATGAAGGCTTCATTCCAGGTACCATTTTATAATCATGCACAGCTTTACAAAAATTTATACTCTTGAATTTAAAGAGGACTTTTTTTTTCAGGATAACCACGTTTATCTGTGGTTCAAAAAGGCCAGCCCGTTTAATGTGCTAGATACAGCTTTTCGGACACCACAACGATATTTTTCAATCGTTTTAAAAGTGATTTTATCCTTGTCTGATCGGTATGAAATTTTCACCACCAAGAGAATTTGTTTTAAAGTTTTAAGTAACTCACCATGACAACAATAAACAAAAAACTTTCAAATCGACAAAAGCCGAATTTTGCACAATCAAGACCTGATACTGAAAAGCCGACACCAGGAATTAAAAATGTGGTGTTTAGCAAATAACCTCTGTGAGAAGTAAAAAATTCCGAACGTTTGAATTCAAACACTGCAGTGGTCAATTTGATAAAACTTTTACTAGTGTAATTTACAAATGTAGCTACTGTTTTGAAGTACGAAAAAAATTAATAATAACCGCACTTGTAAATTACTCTTGTAAAAGTTTAATTAAATACCCTTGCTTCTCTCAATGCAGCAATTATTGACTGAGTTGTAGATGAGCCATAAATTTAGATACCTGAAACAGCTGTCTCCTTATTTACAGGTAAAAGAACACTAGGTAGAGTTGAAGGCAGTTCTAAACCATGTCGCATTGCTACCACAAGGTGCATTGCAATGCAGAACTCATCCAAATTAAGAGCATTGTCCTTATTTATATCTGAGAGGTGCCTGAAAAAACAAAAAAATGTTGGAGTGTCATAGTGTGACCAAAAAAGAGTTGATCTCACCACAATCACCACTTATCCACAGGAGGTCTAACCATCAAATGGGAGCATAAGCAACAACAATAGCATCAGCATTGGTATTGTGAATGGCAAATTAAGCAATAGGTGTAGATTAGTTGAACAACAACTTTGCATGTGTATCACGCTTTTTTGTTCATTTTTTGCTGTCACTGCATAACTGTGATATGAAACTTCCTAATTTCACATTTTTTGGAATACATAAACACGTGACAATGATTTTTTTCTTTACCTTTTAATATATTCCTTTAGAATTCAAATCCAGAAAAATTTGCCAACATTTGGCAAATTGAGACGCAATCAGATAAATGAAGGTTGAAACAGCACAAATTAATGCACTCTTAAGTGATGTTTTCACTACAGTCAATGCCTTTCATTCTTATGTTCTTCTCCTCTGAGGGATCAAAGATTAGTTTAGAGACCTGATTAACTTTTCACAACATATAAATAAACAAAAGTAAGAAAGCCATAGAACAAAAGAAATTTTAGAACAAAGTTTTTATCCAAAATTGGGAAAACTTGTTGGGCGAACATGCAAATACAAAATTTGGTCCAAAATCTCAAATAATACACACTTCTTAAACATGCAAAAATTAAAGAGAAATTATTCCCCAAGCAATAGAACCAAATGCCTTACCATATCTTTGAGAGCACCTCTACAGGTAAACTAGACTTCATGAAGAAGTCCCTTGCCCTTGGACCTAAAAAACAATATTTGAGAGTAACACACACAGTGTTCTTAATCCCATTAATAAAACAAAGTCCATACATAGAGTACAATTCCAATAAAACTGATCAGCTCTGTAAGATTCACCATTACAGACTTTAAGATCAAGGTTTTTCAGCATTTCCCGCGAGGCGTAAACATCAAGAACTCCTGTGACCAATGCCTTGTCATCAGGTTTGTGGCTTGAGGTTCACATTAATTTTGTAGGGCTAGACCACGCTCTATAGGTAAGTGATGCACTGCAAGGCTTTTTTGCACTCTAAAACATCACAATCCCACATTTGTGAGAAAATACTACATTTTACCACATCTTTCACTATTAATTATTAATGAACAATATTTCATAGGAACATAAACTTAAGGACAAGTTCTCAGCTAAAATAAGAGTGAAAGAATGAAAAAAACAAACATGCAGCTGCGAGCTACCAACTCCTAGTCTTCAGTCCCAAATATGGGCAGATAGATAAGGTGAAACCACCAGACGCAAACCATGGTTTGTCATATTTTGTGGTAAGTTGGCCAAAACTTGATCTTAAGGTCTCTATTATAGTTTGTATAACGTTACTAGCCAGTCCTAATTATGTGCTCATTAGCAGGGTATCATTGCCAGTGCACAAAAAATATTTTAAAAAAATGATTATGCTTCTTGTGAAAAAGATGATGTTAACTATAGTTAACAAATTCATCAATAAAGGACAGGGTTCAAGCCCTTTGTAGATTAGAGCTCAAAAAAAGTCCCATTCAGTAGTCCAGGGCAGGTAGATTTTCCTATGTATGACATAATTATTATTTAGGCTCCAATTTTTTTCTTTATCATGTGTACCACAAAATTGCAATATCTGGGCAGACATTTTCATTATTTCAAACCCTTTATCAAAATAATATTGCACATATTGCACGGTGTGTTTTGTTTGTTTGTTTGTTTGTTTTCTCTAGGCACCATTATTTTGTTTCCGGCAAGCATTGTAAAGTATTAGGTCACTAAAAGGCAATTTTGAGAAAAGTTGGGATTGGAGCACTGTCAAATGAATAAGATCAAACCTGTATTAAACAGTCACCTTTAGGGAATGGCCAACAGACCACTTAATACAGGTTTGGCAAAGTGCAGTATCCAAAACCTGACAAATTGACCTCAAAGTGTTTCTAGCTCTTCTTGTGCCAAAAGGAGTAGAGTAAAAGACCACTAAATGCCATACACAGTGTATCTATTGCACTTCTATGTTGACAAAATGATCATTTAATAGACTGAGGTAAAAGCAATAAAAAACAACTTGTTGGGACATGGAAAACGTGACCACAACCACTTATAAAGAGAGGTGGCCACCTAATACAGGCCAGTTTTACAGAAATTATGTGAAATTACTTTTGGCACTTAAGCAAGACTGTGACTGCTAAATACAGGGTGACCACTTTTTACAGGTCCACTTAATACAGGTTTGACTGTAGAATGAATGGATTATTATACATTTCGGGGAAACTGCCCACCTACCCTTCCCCTAAGCCGACATTTTGCCCTAAGTAAGAAGTAGGTGTTAATGTTGGCTCAGGGGAGGGGTAGGTGGGCAGTTTTCCAGAAACGTATAATGATCTGAATGAATTACAATGTACCTTTGACTACTCCACCCTCAATAGGTTGCAGTCTTCTGAACTGCTTTGTATAATATTCTCTCTGCTCTGGTAAGATACGCCACAAGTTATCTTCAGATTCCTCTTCAATACTACTTATACTTTCTGCAAAGCTTGCAAGTGATGGGGCCCTGAATTGGAAATTTGATGAAAATAAGTTCAGGTGTGCTAAAACATTTTACTAGTTGGGGTACATTTGCACATATGAAATTAGAGATTTAGGCTTTCTGTTTCAAAAGTCCTAGGGGTCAAAATATTGGCCAGTCAATCAACAATGTCTGGCCAGAATGGTGTCTTGGCCAGCCAAAAGCTCCATATGAGTTGCTGGTGATGTTGACTGGTCACCCAGCTATTTTTGAAAAAACAGCTAAAACCTCAACTGTAAATCTTAGATTTTGTCTCTTGGTAAAAATACAATCACGTTTGATTATTAATAAAGTGACACAATGATTAATTCACTTCTTTCCAAATTTTTGACTGGCCACAAAACCAGACTTGACCAAGCAAAAATTTCTTTGGCAGGTCATCTTATCTGGCCAACATCCAAAAATTACTTTAATGGTTAAATTTCAAAGTGCCTAAAACTTATGCATTTCTGATTTTTCAAATGAGTAACATTGCAGTTTTTTTTTTTTGTGATGTGACAAATAAGAGACATGACTTTATAAGGGGCATGGTTGAACAGTGGGATTTTTTTAAGGCTGTGTGTATTACATTGTATCATTATTTTGTTAGGGCATCTGCTTTTGTTCTGTTCTTGAATAAACAGGAGCACAGTGTAGAGGATATAAACATATCAGGCGTAACAAAGAATAAATTTGTATCTTCCATACATAGTTGAAAGAAAGGGATCATTTTGGGATAAATCACTATCCAGCAGATAAGTATTGGGAAAACCAGTTACACAACTACTAGGTAGAGATGTATCCAGTGGATAGTATAGCGTTATCTACCTTTGAAAACAACTCAGCCCTGGTCAGGAGTGAACCCCAGGGGTTAAACTACTGTGGTGCCTAGTTTCAAACCTTAGCAGAACTTCCCCCTCTTCGCCTGCAAGCTCTGGTGAACTGCTGCGATCCACATCTTCATCACTGGAGCTGTGCTCTTCATCTACCTCATTCACCACTGGTATTGGAGGTTCAGACTGTCCTGGTGAGTCCCTAGGTGAGAAGGCTGTCCACTGAGTATTAGAGATACCATTGTTGATTGATGGGTTTTCACCTTCCCTCCAAGATCCTACAGTAAGATCACATTTTTAGCAACTAATGTTATATGCCCTGAACAAGTTGTTGGTGTAAGTTTGGCAAGCGGGTTACTTCAGAACAAAAAAAAACTATCCTGACAGATCACAAGTAAAAAATCTCATCTGATAGAGGGTTAATTGCCCTGGGAATATTATGGTCATGGGTTAAAGCCAAAAAAGCTATAATATGTCAACAGTGAAAAGAAAAATAAACACACCGTTTTATCTACTGTAGGTGACTTTACAGAACTAATTTTGTCTTATGACCTCTTCAGTTGTGCACCACATGATTGAAGAGGTCATAAAACAAAATCAGTTTTGTAAAATTGCCAAGACAAAAATTAATAGTCTGTTGAAAGTGAACCTCCATTAGACTTTTCTTTTCTCTGTTGACATAAAGTTAAGTAACACTTTCTTGCCTTCAATGAACAAAATCTTGCAGAAAAAAGCCATAATATTCTTTAAATTCCCATTTGGGTGGTGCTTTATGAAAAGCCAGCTTTTGAAGTATATGTGTCTTTTATTCTGTGCACAATTTGCACATGCAATGCATAAGCTTCTCATGAATTTGCATCCACTGCATGTGCAGTTCATGCAACAAACAAAACATAATGCAAAGTCAGTTTGACATGAAGCACCAACCAAACAGCAGTTTAAAGAGTTTTACGGTGCTTTCTGCTTTGGCTCAATTGAAAGAAAAAAAGAAAAAGTTCAGGCAGAAAGGCAGCATTTAGGTGGTCTTTTAAGAAGCAGGGCTAAAAAAATCTTGCCATCAGATGGAAGGAGGTGGATTTCTTTCTCGAATAATCCAATGCCAACTTGCATCGATACACAATCAGCGACAAAGTTGTTGAGACATTGTACTCAAATAGGGTAATTTCAGAGAACAAAACAATCCACATCCCTCCCCCTCCCCTCAATTCAAAGTTGGGGTGTTTGTTGTTTTCTACAGGTAGCTTGAACAGTGGCACAACATTGCATGGAATGATGGATGGATGGGGGAGGGGGGAGGGAGAAAGCTTTATTTCCCCCTTTTGCAGTCAGTAAAATGTCGGAAAGGCCCTATGTCACCGACTGCAGGTCACCAAACAGTTTCACAACAGCACAAGCCAAAACAAGAGTGAATAAAAAGTCAAGTGCCCAGCACATGCTCAAGAACCTTACTTTCTTCTCTAGGTTCAGCTGTAGGATTGTTTGCCCATGATGTTTCTGTGGTGTTGACGGTTGGTTGGCTAGCTGGTGGATGTGCACCCCAAGTTGGTTGGCCTGCAATACGAACTTGCTCCACTGATAAGAGATCAAAACAATTTTTTTTCAACTGATTCAAATAATAAATTATAGAATTCACCAGGTTGCCAGTGGTGACTTAAAATGTAGCTGGGCAATGAAAAATTGTGGTTGAAACGCCCGGCGGGTAACTACGATAAAAAAAAATGAATTCGAATTCAGCCCAATGTAAGCTTATATTAGGATTGCAAGTACGAATTTAAAATAACAATAAAATGACACGTTGTTTAGTTGGACTACCTTTCTTTCATTGCCCTGAATCCAATTTCTCTGAGTCCTATGAACATTTTATAGTTTCAAGTGGAAAAGGATTAAACCCTAAACAATTCTGAACCAATCCGTAAGACGCCATTTTGATTTTTCTCACATGACTCCATCTTACTCATAGTACTTTGTTGCCTGCTTTCATCACTGCCGCTTCCTTGGCTCCCACGTGTGAACAGCTTTGGAATACTAAATAAACTTGAAAAGACTGGCAAAATGTGGAGATTTCTCTGTGACTGTGAGCTGCCTCCAATGAAATCCACGGCCACTTAATACGGAACTTAAGCAAAGGCGTTTTTGAGCAACGCACGCCAACCGGAAGTGAGGTGTTTTTCATTTGAAAATAAATTGATGCTACCAAATTTGTATTTCGTAGTCTTTTTTTATTATAGAGACGATTTGTCCAAAAATTTGGGCAAAAATACCGCTCAAGAATGACAGATGTCTACTTCCAGTTGACGTGCATGGCTCAAAAACGTCTTTGCTTAAGTTCACTAATGTTGACCTGGGCCACTAAGAATTCAAGGAAACTGACATCTGGCTGGCCACCAAGCACTGGAGTTCAGTTTTAGCCCTGATATAACTCTTCAAATAATTATGTAAATAATTTATAGTATCAGGGTATAAACAAACCTAGCCTGAGAAAACAGCCCACATTTTGCAATGCCACCACAGCCTTTCCCCACAAAATTACATCTAAAGAATGAGCACAGAAATTACATAGTGATGACACGTCACTTCTCATGATTCATTCTGCATAGTGCTTTTAATTGGGTGAAACAAATTTCCCTCACTGCAAGGCCCATCACAAGAACTACCCAGATCTGGGTTGTGACATGTCGTCAGTATGGAATTTCTTCACTCATTCCTCAGACATCATTTTGAAGGGAAGTAAGTGGCGTTGTTGTGAAATGTAAGATGTTTTATCAGGTTAAGAAAAACCTGTTATTAAATGATTTATGTCACTGCTATTTGAAAGAATTACCTGCATGTGAGGCTGACGGAGGCAAGGACTGGGTTCTAGTCAGCACACTTGTGTGATGAGATCCTGCAACAACCTGATTACCATACACAGGTACCCCACCAGGCTGGGAATACTGGTAGGACTGTGGAATATACTGTCCTTGAATCTGCTGAGGAGCTTGGCCTGGGGATTGAAAGGGAGATTGCATAAAGTGACCAGGAGGTACTTGCCCATGCAGCTGAACTTGTGGCTGTTGATTAGGCATTACATAGCCTGCCACTTGATACTGTTGTTGGTGCCAATTTCCTCTTTGCTGCAGGTTTTGAGGTTGGATTTGCTGTGGTGTGGCTGCTCTTGGTGGTGGAGGGATAATAATGCTTCCTTGGTAGCTCTTTGAACCAGTAGGAGACACAGGGCCAATAACTGCGGGGGATTCTACAGGTGAAGTTACACCTTCAGCATCAGGGTTAACAGCAGCCATATCTGCTAAGTCATCTGCAGGCTGCACTTTTGAAGAACTTGTCAATGAATTGGAATGATGAAATTCTCTTTTTCCATCAGCCTTTTTAAATCCCATTTTCTTCTTTTTCTCTAAAGAATAATTTAACAGCAAATAAAATGAAAAGTCATTTCAATAAACAGCTCTGCTCACAACCTTTAAGTACATGTACACAGAAAATAACAGTGCTCAAGTCTTAGAGATTTCCAGTTGAAGCAAACATATGTTAACCCATTCACCCCTGAACCACTCCTAACCCTGCTTGCAGATTAAAGTCCCTTTACTACTTGTGACATCACCAGTTTTAACCCTCAAGGACAACTTTGTCAGTTAATTTGTGCAGGGTGAACAGATCTTTCAATCCATTCCAGAATGAGCACCATTCAGTTAAGGACACCAGAGAAAAAGGCAACAACAACAAAAAAAGTAACATTGGTCCAAAAATTCCAGCTTTTAGAAGTCAGATCAGCACAGCCATTCTTCTGACCTGGCTTTGCCAGGAATAACAGTCTGTCTTTGATTCAAATTCAGGAATTTCTTGAACCCCATAAGGGACAGTTCATTATTTATGGGAATGACCGGGTCGGGAAAAAACCGAACGGGCTTTGAAAATTTTTCTTGCCGTGGCGACGAGCTTTGTGTTTTTTTCTTGAACAAAGAGACCGGGCTATAAAAAAAAATCAACATGAACTAAAACTGTGGTAGAAACGCGGCAGTCGTTTGATGAGAACAACACATGGAAACTGTATTCGTCATTGAAAATTCACCCGGTAAATTGTCCTACTTTCATATCAAATAAATATTGCTACAATATTTTTGGTAATGCAGGGATATACCCGCAAGAAAAAGCTCGCGCTTTGCGATCAAACACTCAAGAATTTTGACAGGCCACGGAATGACACAAATGTACTTTGTGAGCTGCTCTTTTATAGTTGTTTATATTCCTTGACATTTCAGAGCTTGTAATCTGGACTCCGCCAGACTGTACACAAGAAAACAAGATGTTTTGATCGAGGATCTCAAGTTGCAACTCCTACTGAATTGAAAATATTTTTTCTGCACGAACCACAGTGCTGCGGAGTCTGCCAGTCAAGTTCCGTTTATTTCATGCAAAAATAGGTTTACATTCTTATCTGTCTCGGAAATAAACTTTTATTATTTTAAAACGTGAACAATTTTTGTATCTTGTAAATGTGACAAGCTGTGACATTATAAAGCTGTTCATTCATACTTAAAAAACAACTGAGCCGTCCGCATAGCCGTGGAGCCGCACTTGATCAAGGCATACATTGCCCGTTTAGAAGATCTTAGGGACGGACCATTAGAAAACTTATGGGGGGGGGAGGGGAATTTTCGAGCCGCAGGAATTTTTTTTCGTTATCAAATTCCTTGTATGAATTTTTTTTAGGCCATAGCATGAATATTTTTTAGGGTTCATTGGCGTGCAAGAATTTTTTTTCATTTAATTTTCCCTTGCGCGAATTTTTTTTTGTACTTCGCCAGCCCCCCAAGAAGTTTTCTAATGGTCCGTCCCTTAAAATACAAAGCGGCATTAGAACAGGAGGGCGCGCAGAACAAAAGCGTAAAACGATGTCCAAAACGTTTGAAGAATATGCCTGGCGCGATCTCGTAGAGTCTGGAGATTTAAAAAAGTTGCTTGTATCTGAGCTGAATAAGTAAACATTACAAACTGGTAAGCAGCGGCACCAAAGCTGAAAAGATACGGAGAGTCTCGTTGCATGTGCTTCGCGGGAACCATGGTCAACAGGAAGATACGATTGAGTTTACTGACTAGGAGACGAAGGAATGTGGAACGGAAGATGACAGCGAGGAAATTGACAGCTCAGGGGATGATGAAAGTGAGGAGGATATTGTCCTTGCAGAATTGTTAAGTGGGCCTGACTCAGACCAAGACACGATCGCGACTTCATCACGCGAACAGGAACGTTATAGCATCGATGAAAGTGAAAAGATATGGTTTGTCTTTCAAAGCGATTCAGATGAAGAGGAATTTTATGGTTTTGATTGAGTTCGCAAACAGTTGACTTTTTAAAAAAAATAATTCGGGTCGCTATAACAGAACATAATATGAAACACTATAGTATAAATCCGTTTCATTTTTTCATGCCCTGTGGACATTAGTTACCAGTCTTCCCATGTCTTGCTGCTGCAACAGAGACCTGGAACAAAGCTTTGAATGTCCTCGTGAACGTCTCGCGAACGTGTTTAAAAACATGTTTGTGGAAGCTTATTCCTTTAACAAAATGTCGAAAACTTTCAAGGGAAACGTTACTCCACAAGAAGTTCTATTTGGAGAGGTTGGAAAACTTCAAACGCTTCTTGCAAGTCATTTAATACGAATGGTTATATATCTGGGTTCAAAGATATATTTAGGACTTTTTCACTTATTTGGCAAACGATGAAATGCCTCAAGCTGGATGGCATTTGTTAACATGCACTTTTCACAGATGTTAATAAATTATTGTTTGTAATCGCTAACTCGTTTTATCGCTGTTTGCTGACTCGAACAGCGAACAGTTGTGTATTTGATCCGAACATGCACTAGTTGCTCTAGTCGTAAATAAACATTGAATGATTTTCACAAGGTACTCACTTCAATTTGAACGGGCTTTGAAAAATTTGACCCCAAATACTGAACGGGCTACGAAAAAACAAAATGCCTTTTGGGCGGGCTTTAGAAAGAAAGAGGAAAGCTATTATTTTTTTCCTGACCCGGTCATCCTCATAAATAATGAACCGTCCCTAACTTTAATTTCTAGTATGAAAATTCAAGTAAAACAGTTTTGACTGTCAACCAATGTGAATTTTATTTACTGGGTTCACTCTAGTATGAAGCTTGGAGTTGTTCTTATTGAATTCAGCTCATGTGGAGTAAAGCATCTGAATCAATGAGGCCAGTGTGAATTAGGGCCTCTGTCATGTGAATTCTTTTGTCGGGTCTATTCACTGGAGTTGTTCATAATAATTCAGCTCATGTGGAGAACAGTATCTGAATCAACTCAGTCAATGTGAAATACATACAGTGTAGGGCATTTGGACTGGGCCTCAGAGTCTATTTATGTCACGTTAGTTCTTTGTTGGCGAATTAATCAAGGTGCTGATTGTAGAATGACAAAGAAAAGCTGAGTGCAGTCTCAAAAATTCCAAGTTCATTCTACAGCAAGAAAGACTGGAGCATTTATTTGCAGGTATATCAAGAACAAAAAGTTCTAATTTTTCTTATTTTCAAATGGAGTGCTCAATTCAGTTAAATTCAATTTACATGTACTTTACAACAAAATTCGAAGAACAAGAATACAAGATTACACAGAAACAAATGAATGTGGTGAGGAAGCCCAAAAAGAAACCATAAGGCTCATAAATCATTGGGCTCCCACAGAGCATAAAAGTGTACATGTACAGTAAGGCCACATACAAATTTATACATGATGTAAGTAATTAAAAGACATTCATGATAAAGACTTAGAATAGATAAATAATCAAAATACTGTAATCTTTCAAAGGAAAGATAACACAAATAAATAAGTCAATATAATGTTAAAATGATAATGTTAAAACTCATAAGATGGTCACTAAGACAAGTCATGAATGCTATTGACACTGCAAATAACCTTGAAGTTCCAGAATTTCATACAGAGCTTACTCTTTGCATTTTTAGAATCTATCATGATTAATGACTTAAACATTTGAAGGAAACTTGTACCCACCAGCTATTTCTTGCAGTTTTTCTTTATCTTTCTTTTTCTTATCCAGCCTGTTGTCAGTGCCCTCATCATCTCCCTCTTCAACAAGTAAAGTTCGGTTCATTTCTGAAATAAGGACAAATAAAAATTAAACATAAGACGTGTACCACTTGCCCAAATAAATTAATATTTATGGCAAAAGGAAATCGCCAAAGTACAAAGAAACATACAAAACAGTTTTTAATGAAAATTTGAAAAGATGATATTTCGTTGAAGACTTACAACCCTACAGCTGACCGATAATGACCAACGGATAATAATGCCTTAATGCACGATCAACAACAATCATTGCACATGATTACAAAGTTCAAGCAATTAACTGCTGTATAAGTTGCCAACTATAACTTATGATTGGTTCCTTCTTCAGTTTCTCTTCAGACATTGCCTTTCTGTTTTACCTTAAGTCACGTTACTGACCTGGTAGCTAGTTTGTAATTCAGTGATATCATGTTCTTTACCAAAATGTACTTCTTAAAAGCTCTAAAAACTACTCAGTAATAATTTATTGCAGGGCAAAAGGGGCATAGTTAAAATCAACCTTTGAGATTTAGACCGCGAGTAAAGTAACATGCATAACACACATATATTATGTACCTTTCATTTAACATATTGCTTTACAAAAGTCCTCGCTGGGATAACAATAAACAAGTATTACAATTCTTACTTTTAAAAACATCAGTGACCTAAAAATAAAATTGGGTTTTGTAGGAGTTTTTGTAGTTCCAAAAAGGTTTCCATGATTGCAGGAGGTGGAACTGAAAAAGGAGTTTCCACGCAGGTTGAAGTTTTTCAGCTTGAATATCGGCTTCAATCTCTACTGTGAAATAAATTAAAATGAACTGGGGATTGACTCCACTTAGGCTTTTTGGATTGCTTGAATAAGCGAGTCAGATCACGTCTCACCTTGAGAATCTAAACAATTCTGTAGATGTTATATACATAAGGTAATCTTTGAGCCCATCCCACCCTTCCCTCGATGCAACTACAATGGACTGTAATAATATTATTTTTAAAAAATATATGTAACACAATAAAGAAACACAAAACTCCAAAGAGAGTTTGATGTAAAATATTAAAGCGAAAGTAGTATGACCAGAATGCTTAAAAAATATTACAGTGTATGCCATTATGTTGCTGGTGCTTCAAGTTTCCAATGCAACAATCTAAAAATGTACCACAAAAGCATATTATAAACATAACATATTTTACTGAGAAACAACATGAAAAAACAACAGATGACCTTATACAAGCCCAGAAGCTGCTTATACAAGCAATAGCGTGTTATCACAACAGAAAATGCTTACTGTCAATAACATGAAAATGAACTGGGAAAATGATCACTAAACATTTGACAAATTCCTACCACATGATTGCCATTTAGTGGACCAGGTGATAAGCAACTGGAATTCACATGACTCCCATTTGTACCCATTCAAACAAATGAAAGATCAACTGGCAGTGCCCAATACAATGTAATCACATGGCACTAAAGTGTTCAAGTGCAGCCATAACTATGGTCAAAAATAAAAAATGTCTACAGGGATCATACACTATGTCTTCTTCAGGCCAAAAATCAAGGACATTTTGAGGATTTTCTGGTGCATGCGCACATGCAAGAGTAACAAGACAGCACCAGAAACAAATAAATGAGAGTTTTACAAAATTAATTTTGTGAGCAATTTCTTACTCTGTCTGTATTTGAACTGACAAGGTTAAAAAGTCAGAACATTAAAGAGCATTAGAGGTTCTTTAATTACTAAAAGTCAAGGACTTTCAAGGATCAAAAACCAATTTCAAGTTCTTTCAAGGTCTTGCAATTGGCAGCTTGCAATTCACAGCTTTTCAAGGGTTCTAAAGCTGCATACAAATTCTAGTGTCTAACAGAATTATATACAATACAGATATACATAATTATATTGCAAGAAAAGAATTATTTGTACATGTACACTGTGGGCATATTGATGATGATTTATTAGCATGCTCTGTGGGCTACCACATGATCTGTAGATGATATCTCAAAGATTTGTATTGCGCACCAAAACTGAATATGAAGTCATTTAACATCCACTCCAACTGCATCATAACTTTGCCTTACTCCACGCGAGAATAACTCTCTACATCCTGGGAGAGTTGCAAATAATAGTTGGTCATTGGCAGGAGCCCATAACCCAAAGTGTGGAGCCCCAAACTTAGCCTATTCAACTGCATTTTCATATTTTGATATTCAAAATTAAGGGGAAAATCTGACTAAAAATAGACTGGTGTGTGAAAGTGCTGTTGCATGAGCAAGAGGGAGCTGCTCACTCTAGGTTATGGGCTCCTGTCATTGGACAATGTCTGACTCCTTTGAAATCCTACCTGCAGTTGGAGGTTACTGGACAAATCAAATGAGACTATTGATTTGAAGTTTGGTAAAGCAGTTAGAGGAATTAAAACTCAAAATGATTTTCATTCAAACACTTTTCTGCTTTGTCTGACTAACAAAGGGATCTGGTCAGACATATGTCCTTTCTAAAGGGGGAAGATTTTTGCAGGCCTGTATACTCCTACTGACCACTATTTTAAGCACCTACTGTACATGCACCTCCATTCAAAGAACATTTTTCACTGACGCCGCAGCGTGCAAAGAAAGTAGTGTCCGATAGCCCGGGGCTAGTGGATTTTGCTATCGGGCTAGTGAATTCTGTTTTTAACTTGCCCGACGGGCAAGTGATGTTTTATGAGGAATTTGAATAACAGAAGAACAAAAAGTTTTTGGGGCTAGTAAATGACGTCTGGGCTAGTAAATGCTAGCTTCAGCTTGCCCGAATGGCAAGCTGTAAAAATGATTTTCTTTGCACCCTGCGCCGCTACATTACCTGACAGTTGATAACTGTACATGTAGCTTGCTAGCCATCAGTCTGGCCATACACTGATAAGTCTAGCAAGTACCATAATGATAAACAGAGCAGTAAAACTGCGACTATAATGATTAACAGAGCATCAAAAACCTCCACCCGGTTAGCTAGATTGGATAAACCCTGGTGTGTCAAACGGGAGGCTGCTGGCTCTAACCCCGGCCGCACCAACACTCAGGGTCTCTAAGTGAGCAGAAAGTGCTGCCTTTTTGAAAACAACCGCAAAGGTCAAACTTTAGACTCTTCTCAGATAAGGACGATAAACTGTAGGCCTGTCTCACAACCCTTATACATATAAATATTATTCTGTGGGACATTAAAGAACCCACACAATGTTTGTAAAGAGTAGGACACATAGTCCCTAGTCTGATGGTCTATCTCTCATAGGAGGAGAGACTGTTACCGGTCCAGCAGAAATTGGCATCATGTGCTGTTGCGGTGACCTGGCCAAAATTAGCGAACTCAAGTAAACAAATAAATAAACAACTACAATGTTTGTCAGATGAGCCCATTTCACCAAAAGTCTTGTTTGTGAAAGAAAATTATTTGCATTTGCCTTTTTTGTGCTTGGGTATTCTTTTCAACCTTACTGCCTTAGGAATTCATTAATGAAAAACTTCCGAAATTTACATTTCAAAATGACGTTTGGTGGTGAAAGGTGCTTGTCGAACCCAAACATAGGTAACTTACAGCTTTCAGCTTTCCTCGGCTGTATATCAGAAACACTGTCAAAGGTGTTCCAAAAGCATTTCACTCCACATATTACTACAATAAATACTCTCACATACTTTTAGTTTAATAACATTATTATTAATATGATTTTTATTGAGTGTACATGTGCAATACTTACTTGAACCCTCATCATGCATAGAACATAGACATAGACATGATTGAAGTCCCTTCCACCTTGTAAGAATTTTTTTTCAAAGAAAGGTCTTCAATATGAAAAATCCATTTATCTTTCAATCACTTGAGTAATATTTTCGATCACAACTTTAAAAGCAGCAATCTAGCTTAATTAGAAAACAGTACTTATATACGTATAAAAGCAACTGACTTTTATGCTTCACCGACATAACCATATTTACCTCCGCGGTTTCTTTACACAGAAGCAATAAAAAATCATATATTGAAACACCGATTAAGCTTTCATTAAGGAAAACGTAAAGGTATTCCATAATGTGTATAAAGGAATTCAATAACATCCACTAATAATATGATATAAGCTTAATGCCCGTATTCAAGTCGAGAAAAACTGTTCAGCAAGTCGCAATCTGACCTAGGTTATGAAACGCGGTGGTCGGACACAAAATAATAAGATAGTCAAATCCAAAGCCTTAAAAATTATGCAACGAAAAAATTCTTACCTTAAACAATATAGATTTTTCGCAAAGTAGATGAGCTTTTTTCCACTCTGCTATCAAATAAGATCTTCCTCTTCGATTCGTTGAGGAAATCTCAAAGTTTTCGCTTTCACTACAACGTGAACTTGACTGACAAGAAGATAACGGGAGGTCATGGCGAACAACATGACATTTTTCTACCATGTAGCTGCTGACTTATTAAATACAAAGTTTCAGTCAGCCAAATTTTGCATAATTTTTGCAATTTCCTCCGCAAAATAGCAGAAGTCTGCGGCCATATTGGAACGTGAAATGTCACGTGCTAATATATGCACTCCCGGATGACAGTAGGGGCGGAGAAGTCACCGCGAGACCGGAAGAGAAATTTCAACATGTTCATGGTGACATGCAGGCGCTAGGAGGGGGGTGAGTAGGAGAAAAAGGATAAACAGGGGAGGAGTCCCTTTCAGCTCTTCGTGGCCCTTTACTTTTCCATTTCGCCTTCATTTTTCACGCCTGCTGAATGTTATTTGTGTGTATTTCATGTGAAGAAACAACAACAAACTAATCCTCACGGCGAAGAGAAAAGGGAAATCCAAAATAAAGCTAAAGATCATATATTTTGTGTCCGATGTTTCGGTTTGAAACACAAAGCTTCTACGACTTCCTAAACCATGTGATCACGGTTTTTTTTTGTTTTTGTTCTTTTGCGGGGGGTAAGGGAGCGGGGGGCATAATCGAAAGTTGGATAGTACACTGCAGTGCGCCCAGTGGAAGATTACTGATGCACATATTGATGCACATATTTATTGTATTTATTTATTTATCAGCATTTCATACGGCATTCACCGCGAGGGCAAAGAAATCCAAAAAAATGAGTGATTTCATGAAAAAACCGGCAGAAACCCGTGATTAAAAATACGAAAGAAATTTTAAGCAGTAGACATCTAAACTCGGCCTGTTTAATTTGCCAAATTATTATACGCAATCCTCACTCGCAGTCTCGCCATAGTTTTACGCGTTTCCAAATTTTCTTGCGAAATTAGTCAAAATTGCGAAATAAGTTCAAGAGTCAGACGTCTGCACGCAAGCACAGAAATATCATGAATGATGAAGGCGGAATCAGTCTGGGGTTATTTAAGATCTATTTATAGATTCTGCTTAGTTTCAAGAGTTTTGAAGAACAGTTCAAATGGGCACCCACTAGTATGGCTTTCTGTCTCTTTTCGCGTTATTGTGCGCTTCTCTTTAACTTGTTCCTTACATTAATTTATATTTTTCAAGTGGTTGGCGGAGAAGGGGTGTGGGCTGAGACCCCTTTAAATATTGGTTCCACTTACACAGCCTACTGATAGCCCAAAAAAGAAAGAAATATGAAGAACACCTCGAAAATTTTCCGCCTATAGCCATCACATATCCTACGAAATGTTATCCAACAATACATGTCCCCTATACAACTGAGGAAGGCTTTCTCGAACTTCGTCTTTGCGTGTGTTCAAAATCGCGTGGTGATTAACATATGCTTCCTGGGCAACAATGTCGCATTAATGTGTCGATCACCTGTCACATGTTTAGTGGCAGAGGTTTGGCCTGCACTAGAGGTTAAACCGGGTGAGAAGAAGACGACACAGTCGAGCGGGAAGTGCAAAAAGCGTCTTGCGCACCTCCCTCGTGTTCCGCACTGCGCGTTCGATTGCCTTCTCCTTCTCACTCGACCAAATAACGCTTGTCGTGTGGGCTACACATATTGGAGGTGCATGCATCATTGTTTAATGCTGGGGGTCGTTGTAAGAAGGCATTTATTTTTGGTGAAGAATTGTCAAGTGTTTGAAACAAATTAACTATTTTACCATCCTCCGAGACCCAGGGGCAGTTAGTCCGGACGACAGAATGTTCGTGCATGGTAAACTTTCACCACGAACATTCTATCGTCCCGACTAACTCCCCTGGGTCTCCGAAGATGCTATTTTACTTAAAACCCGAAGCAACCAGCACAAATGAGAGGATAATAATGCTTGACTTAACAATATTTTCCATGGGTTGCTTCAATTTATAAACAGGTTAAAAGCTCATTCAGTTTTCTGTTCTCCATCTCCGTTCCTCCTTAATTTATATTATCACCATTCTACAAAAAATTATTTGGAGCTTTTAGAGCTTTGCTTCCGAGCCTGCAATTATGAGAAATTGCAAAAGACGGCTCTCGTCACAAAAACTTGAGATCTCACCAGTCAGTTTCCACGGGCGAATTTTCTACCTTATAAAATTTATGTCCACATAATATCACAACTTGAAGTAGAGGGAACATCAAGCGTACTTCAGTGACCACGAACTGCTCTGCACAATAACTACCGCAGCCGGCGAGTAGCAAAGTAATTTCAGATAGCGAATTTTTCCAGCCATTAACCTGTGACCAAGCCGTCTTGTATACGCCGATTATTCAATCTTCACATATAGCTTCATCTCCACTCCATTTTTAAACTGAGAACGGAGTTTACTGACAGAGGGATTTTTAGTCGTTCTAACATTAGCCTGCGTAGCATGCGTTTGAGGGGACGGGAAAAGTATAGACTGCGTGGCAGGCGTTCGAAAGGTACGGGAAAGGGAATTTGGACGCGAGACCGCGTGCGAGGGAGGAGGGAGCAGGAACGCGTTTCCTCCCCTTCCCATCCCGCGCCTTTCGCGCTTCTCGCGCGCCCGGAATCTCCTTTCTTTTTAAACGCTTGCCACGCAGGCTAGGAAAAGTATAGACTTGCCTACAAGTCGAGCGCTCAAATTTTTTCACGGGCGCGAAGCGCGATTGGTGGATTTTTTATGTTTTCTACGCCAAAAGCGAACGAGAGAGCGAGAGCTAACTACCGGAACCGGAAATGAGAAGCGAAGGACTTTGAGAAAGACAAGGAGAAGTAGAAAGGCGCGCAAGGGAGGTTTACTATCCCTTCTTTCTCGCGCATCCATCGCGTTCTCGCTTGACCATATTAGGGAGCTTAAGCAACAGCGTTTTTGAGCGACGGACGTCAACAGGAAGTGGACTTTTTGCATCGTTGGGGAGCGGTTTGCTTGAAACTCTCGGGTAAATCGTCTTTAAAAGAGAAAAGAAACTCAGCAATACAAGTTTGTCAGCGTCAAGGCATATAAAAAGGGAGAACGCCTCACTTCCGGTTGACGTGCGTTGCTCAAAAACGTCTTTGCTTAAGGTCCCTATTCCCCTTTTCCCTTCCCCTTTAAACGCCAGCCTCGCAGGCTCACTTTTCCAATAAGGCAAGCGCTTTGTGCAAGTTGTCAATAGCAGTCTTTACATCTTCATATTGTAATGCACTAGCAGCAAAACGGCAGTATTTCTGAGCTTGTTCACTGTCTTGGGGAGACAAGGTGGACGTAGGTTGCGTGGGGGGAATGACTGAAGCTGCTGGAACAGGGGAAGGAACTACTGGCTGAGTGGGCTGCAACACAATAGAAGTAAAGAGGACGCAATGTCCAAGTCAAGCAATATCCGCTGGTCTTGCTATCTTAAAGCGTGTAAGTCATTTTCGTAAAATCCAACTAGTGGTCTATTATAATGGTTGCATTCTGATTGGTTGAGCTACTACTAGGCTACATGTTATAGCCTACTAGTAGCGAAAAGCGCTGGCTTTGAAAACCAAAACAATGGCGGCTGAATCGCGCTTTACGAGTTAAAGCTGTTTTGTCCCGATGTTTTTGACCAACTGGTTGGATTTTACTGAAACAATTAATCCTCTCGCCCTCATGGCCTCTGAGTCAATAGCCCATTTGGCCTCCAGCCTCATGGGCTATTGACTCGGAGCCCATTCGGGCTCAGGGAATAATTGTTAATCTACTATTTGATACTAGAGTGAATACGTACAATGCACTGGTAATGCCATATTTTAATAAATTATTACTGTAGTGCTGTATGGAGTAATATCAATAAGGGACCAGCAGACAAACTTCAAAGGCTCCAGAATAGGGCTGCTAGAATTTCACCTTTTCTAACTACATGTATGAGGTTTGCTCAAGTGTTTTGTTGGATGGGCTTGGCTGGGAAAGGCTACAATATGTAACACTTAAACAGTTGGCTGCGACAATGTATAAAATCCATAATAATCTTTGCCCATTGTATCTGAGGTGGATCTTTACCAACACCTCAAATGTACACTCACACAATCTTGGAAAATCTGAGTTAAATTATTATGTCCCCAGACCCAGAACTGAGTCTGCAAAAGAGAGCGTACACAACAGAGGATCTGTTCTGTGGAACAAGATTCCCTCAGAGATTAGAAACTTACCTAGTTTAAATGTTTTTAAAACTTCATTTCATGGGAAAGATTATCTTAATACACCATGACTCATTGTAACTCCTATTATTAATAATATGAGTTTTTGTATTTTTAACTTTAGAGACAAGTAGTTCCTTAGAGTATTTTAGTCTAATTTTACACACGATTCCTAGGAAGAACATGTAAAAATGATACGATTTTGTGCATAAATAAAGATCGATGATGATGATGATGATGAATGTCTGTGTCCTGCCTGAATTGTGGTTGTGTCACCAGGACTAAGTCGACGCACACTGCCATACACATTTTGCTAACCAAAGTGTACATACAGACCCTTTTATTTGGTCAAGCACATGTCATAGTTCTGGGATAAAAGACTACAAGGAAGCCCTAAAATCATGAGAGCTTGCAACAAATATTGGATCAGTTTAGTTTTCTGGGAAACTGCCCACCGACCCCTTCCCTAAGCCAACATTATCACTTACTTCTCACTTAGGGCAAAATGTTGGCTTAGGGGAAGGGTAGGTGGGCAGTTTCCCAGAACCTAGATTGATCCCAAATATCTACCCAAACCAGCATCATTATTTTACTGAATTCTATCTTGGTATTACCTGGCTTATACTAGGTTGAGCAGAAGGTGTTGGATATGGTGCAGTTGAGGGAAACTGACCAGGAATGCCTGCTGTATTGCCAGTGGGGTAAGGTGGCTGTTGAGCATCTGTTGGGTAGCCAGGGTACCCTTGGGGTTGCTGCATACTGGAAGGAGGATATGGGGAGGCCCCTTCCTCTTCTCTATCAAAGCTTTCAGCCTCCCCACCTACAGGCCCTGGAACGGGTGTCTCTCCAGTCTTCAGACATTTGTGTATGTAAGCTGCTTTCCATTTGGCATATTTTTGATGGTGAGCTCCCTAAAGTAGGACAAGACAATCTCAATTCACTTCTTACAGTGTGACTACTGTACACAGGGCCACTTACACAAAGTTGACCAATCCGATTACAGGAAAATAACAATACATTCCAAGAAAGTTGGTTGTCGGCCAATCAGCAGCTCGTAAAAAAAAAACAATAAGTCACTCGAGGCACAAAATTTAATATTGATAACAAATGCTTTTCAGGAAAGCAAAATGTTTCACCATTTGCCTGATTGGCAAATTGACAATGGCTTTTCAAAAAAGACCAATCATGGCACATACTCAAATCTTGGTACTCAGGTGGGGGCCTGCAACAAGGATTTCAGCGCTGTTTCACAGACGGGTTTAACAAGAGTTTAGTTTTGTCTGTGGTGCAGGCTAATGTTTCACTGCACACTTCAGAAAAATGCTCCAGGCCCTTATCTCTTCACCCAGAATTTAAAAAATATATAATTAAAAATAGAATGTTTTCTCAAAGAGCCTAATGTTATAAATACCTCCTGTGACAATTCACCAAACTGTGTCAAAACATCATAAAGCAGACTGGCTGTGTAAAATGACTTGACAACATTTCTGAAAGGATTAAGAAAAACATAATTCCAAACAGTAAATAGAGACCTTTAGATTCTAAGAAGAGGACGACTATGAATAAGAGTTTTTCTTAATACTAAGTTTTGCGTGCACAAGAACCAGCATTATTTTGGCAGGAAATGCAATAGCCATCGTCATTCTAGTACGCGTGTCAGTAAGAACGTTGTAGTGGCTGAAACAAGACATCAAATGTTAGAAGTTTTATCATTTTGTGATCGAGAGAGGGCTTAACCTCATTCAATATAATCTGATGCAATGAAATGTCATGGATTAGAGGACAACAAGACTTGCCCTCTTTACATTATACATTATTAAACTTGCTAACAGTAAGCTTGGATGTCAGCATACAAGGGTGTCAGCATACAGGTACAAGATAACAACTCTGTTTTCTGGTGAATAAAAGTACAATGAAATTTTCTGGGGTGTATTATATATTCACAGCTCCCGTTTTACCATTGAGCACTTTTACACTAGATGAAGTCGTCAGTTTATCTGCTGCTGGTCATATTTTGAGAAATATATATACGCCAAAAAAACTGCAAATCAAATCTCATCGTCATAGTCATTCTTATCCTCGAATCTAAAGGTCTCTATTATAACATAGTCTGGCACAATGATCAAAGGAAAAATAAGAGACTTGTTGTATATCATTATATCATTATTATTGAGTAGCATATTTTAACATCCAAATGCTAGGTTCTTAATTGACAGAAAGTATGAATTATCCAAAGTACTTATTAAAGTTTGAAGCACGGTCCTCAGTATCAGCCCACAAGAAAAGCTGGAGTGCTTTTTCACCAATGTGAAGCTGGGCAACGTCTTCTTCACTGACAGCCTCATAACCGGCTGAACCCAACTCCTTCTTTTTCTGCAAACATTATAACAGATCAATTACAGTGTAAATATGAAGAAGATCATTTCAGTTATAGACACAACTCTTATTTTGAACCCATGAATGACAATGAAATAATGAATATATTTACTGTACAGGTGTTTCAATAAGCACCGACGGCCGACGAAACGCGTTGGCTACTTTGCTTAGAGAAGTCGGCTACTTCTCTCTACAAAGAAGAAGCAACTAGTTTGAATAAGGTTGTAGACAAGAAATAATTATTTCATAAAATCTGAATGAAAATGTAATGGGGTATGATGTGTTTTCGTATAGGCCCACTAGTGTTCCGTTATGCTTAAGTCATGTGAACGCTATATTTCAGTCATTTTTTCACAGTTTCTTTTATAGGTTTAAGCAGAATTTTTGTTCAGGTGCAAAAGTACGTTCATTTGTTCATTTTCTTGTAGGAATTAGCTGTGGGACATATAAATATTGAAAGCTACATTTTTTGAATGAAAAACATGCTCTTTTGTCCTCATATTTAGTCCCCAGAACGCTAAAAATCGCCTTTTAGGGCTTTGAAATTTCAAACTTTTCCCCTAGAATATTAAAGAGGACTAACGGTCCCTTGTGGATACACAGTCGGTTACTCTATTCAAACCTGCTGGCTACTTCAGTTTTTACTGACACCCCTGACTGTATAAAAATAAAATGACAAAAAGTATTGGTACTGAAGGGCAAAGAAGTAAATGCAGAGCAGATTAATGCAGTTAAAGAAAGAACTCTTGAAGTATGTTTCTAACCTGTTCTAACTGATCCATTAGCTGCAGTAAGAATGGTTTACTTTCTTTTCCTTTGCTATCAATTTTGATCCCTTTCTGCATTGCATAGAGACGACCTGCCGCAGGACATAAAAATCTCTTGTCAAAAGTTTTGTATTTATTTTATGTGCAGTGAAATCTTCCCTAAGTTACTCTGTGTCTCATGGTACGAAGCACAAACTGCCAACTTTCTTGATTTCACTGTCCAACAATTCTCACTTATCCATGACAAAGAATAAAGTAATCTGTCATGTTTTGCTGTAGCTACATTATTAATAAGTTTTGCTCAAAAAATGCCAGAGTAGTTTTCAATGTGGCAGTATTTTGGGGCAGCACTAATGTCAGATATACTATGGTTTATATCTTTTTATTACGTTATCTACATTTTGAGGAGAATCTGCAGGGAAAAAAAACACATCCTGATACTGTGCCGAGAAATAGGGCAAAGTTTTGAAGAAAGTCTATGAAATATTTTGAATAAATAATAAAATAGCTATTGAATTCAGCTTTTGCATGCTGGGAAGATTATCACATTTCAGATGATACGATGGGAAGAATTATGCTGACCTCCAAGGCCTACATTCTTCTTGAACTGCATAATTCTTCACATCAGGCTTATTCAATAATTGTTAAATATCCTTCCTTTGCTTTATATGTATCTCTTTTCCTTTGCTCATGCTTATTTTAAGTCACATTCTTAAATCAACTTAATTAAAAGTAATCTGTATTTTATTCGTGACTGAATTTTTCAAGGTGATGAAGTCGCAAAATAGATGTCATATTTTAATACTACCATTATGACCATTCTATAATAAAATTTGTAAACTTGCATTCTTGGACCTATGTAAAGCAACAAAATCTCACTACAAACTTTCCTCTCTAGGGAGTTGGCAGGTCTGGAAGTGTCCAGAAGTATGCAATAAAACACAACTCTTGGCAATGACTTTCATTTACAGAGAAATGTCATCGCTATAAAAAGCATGTATTGCTGAAATAAGCTTTAATAAAATGTTACCTGTTTCTCCTTTAGCTTCCATCTTTGCTTTTACGCTAAATACCTCACAGCACCAAAAAAAATATTTCAAGCTATACTTACAGTAATAAGCAACAACAGGATCTCGTTTGTCATATTCCTGAGCGGTCTTCAGGTATGGAGAAATAGCTTTCAAACTCACTGGGACGGCCATGTTTTCCTTCTTGTGTTGATGTAAATCCGCTGCTCACATTCTGCAATCCGTGGACTCAGTGGCACTACGAGGGACATATTCAAGAAGACAGCTCACGGCACCGAAAAGGTAGAGCACATGCCTTATTTGGTATTGCGGACCAAGTAACTATGGTAACATGCAATAAAGCAAACAGATCTCGTCGCTTAGTATTTCTTGTATATGCTGCGGAGTTGTTCTATCAAATTGTTCCAAGTGTAATTCTGTTCAGGAGATCTTGAAGTTTTCTGCATCAACAATGTACATGAACGTGATGCAGCAAACGAAGGAATACCCAGTTTACAATACTCGTGGAAAGACAAAGGAAAAAGTAAGCTTGAGACCGATAAAAGATCATTCGAAGTGATTTCTGTGAGCTTTGCCAAGAGCTTATTCCTCTTCTTATTTTCCCAGGAAGAGAAGGATAAAAACGTCTGGGCCATTCAAGCTACAGTCACTGCTGAACCTTTTACAACAAAGTCAAGATTAACAAATGCAGTGGTAAGCTTACTTTGTCCAACTTATTGAATTATAAAATTCAAGGGAAAAGAATGGTGTAGGGCCAAACTATGTTACAGGCATTCCAGTTTCAATAGGTTGCTAAGATTTTCCTTTACATTTTAAACGCAGGTTGTTCCTGCTCCTAGTGCCGGAGCTTTCAAATCAAGGCCATCAGAAAGAACAAGTTTCAGAAGATGCTATCTTCGAGGCGATTTTCCCATCGCGTTGGAGCACGACACGAAGGGAAACAAGATCGCATGGAAGGTAGAAATTGAGAGGCTCGATTACCATCATTACCTTCCGCTTTTCTTTGAAGGATTATCCGAAACAGCGCACCCTTGCGATTTCTTTGCTCGACAAGGAGTGCACGATATGTTGGAGCACGGAGGTGGAAACAAAGTTCTTCCTGTTATTCCACAGCTCATTATTCCGGTCAAGAAAGCCCTCAATACGCGAAACCGCGTTGTGATTTGCACCACACTGAAAGCGTTGCAGCATCTTGTAGTCTCGGGCGATATGGTCGGCGAAGCACTTGTTCCTTACTACAGGCAAATCCTTCCGATCTTAAACATCTTCAAGAATTTTAATATCAATTCAGGAGACGGAATCGATTACAGCCAACAGAAAAGAGAAAATGTCGGTGACTTGATTCAAGAAACTCTCGAGGCGCTCGAACGACGTGGAGGTCCCGACGCATTCATCAACATCAAGTATATGGTGCCAACTTACGAATCCTGTATGCTAAATTAACTTTAGAGAAAATCGTCAACTTACATGCTGTGCATTTGTATTTTATCTGGTATGGTCCATAAGAGTTAAAATTCGGTTTCAGAAAAATGTCACTGGCTGTGTATAAATTATTTTTTGTCTTACAGTATTATCTTTGTTTAAGCAAGGCTTTCTCCTTGTGTTCACAGTACGTTAAGCGAGACTCACGTGGCATTGAAAATTTATCTATAAACATTGATTCTTCAGATAAACCCAACTATAATTTTCAAACGTTCATTGTACATACGAGTAGTTTAAATATCAATATTTGATCCATATGTAGTTCAGAAAGAGCTCAGCATGTATTGTTGCTTGTTTATGGAGAAAGTAAAGTTTATCTGAGTTCTCTTTATTTCTTTGTGGTATAATTTTCTCCCCTATTTTATGTCAAAACCATGCAGCAGTTTGGTCGTCAACATTAAGGAGCTACCAGAGCATTTTTTTCTGGGTGGTTTGAATCGGAAAGAACACATGCAGAAGAAGAGTAAAATCCACTAAAGTGATGCATTCACAACCTCATTCCTAGGGTTCTCTCCTACCCTCCCTACAGAGTGAGAGAGAGAGAGCAGAGGGTGTACTGAAAGTCTCCAAGCTTGTCACGCAATGCTCCTCCCCACGAAGTTAGGGAGGAATGTTCACATGGCAAGACAAAAACAGCTGTAAGGGAGACTAGTGTACTAATAGGACAAAATCATTTTGGTGGGAACATTGGAGTTAATGTCAGGGACACCCAATGACTGTTTTCTGTAAAATATCTGTTCTGAGAAGCAAATATTACCTAGCATTTTCTATTACTTGAGGATGGCTAAAAATTTTCTTCATGACCATCCCGTTGAGGTAACATTTTCAAAGCTTATCTAATAAATTCCTTACGATATTCGGAAGTTTAGTTTTTCATATTTCACTCCCCATGTTAGTCTTTTTTCCGTAGAAAAAGGAAACCTAACATTTTCAAATAAAAAAATGTGATGGAGAGAGACGTCAGAAAAATTCTCACTTTCATAGTATGTTACATTATTGCATCTAAAATTTTTGGGCAAATTATAATACTGAAGCCCTTGTAATTTTTCGGAAAGACTCAAGTTCCCCTAAAATGGCTTAACAGATGCAAAGTTTATAGTGATGCTAAGAATGTATTTCTAGAGATCTAAGAGTAACTCTGGATAGCCAAAAAAGTGTTAACAGTGTATTTAGGAGGAAACCGTCATTGGGTGCTCCTGTTAATGTTTTCTTGCAGTAAAGACTGGTGGCTCGCCAGGTACTGTGGCTAACTCTCCCTGATGGCAAACAGTGTTAAGATTGCCTATTAAAAGTATGAAACCAAGTGACTACAGTCTATTAGTCTGCTACATATACACAGCTGTTCTTTGTTGGAAGGAAAGTTGCATGTGGACACAAACAATGGCCTGGCACCAGGTTCCTTGAAGCAATTGGGAAAAGATGAAAAAATTGGCATGTAAAGCCCTACACTCATCAATCAGCCGAACATCAAGGCAACTGAATGTTTCATGGTGAATGAAGGGGAAAAAGTGAAGTTTAGTATAGATTTCTTTTGAATTTGAGTCCATTCAGTGAGATATAGCAGTCTACACAGTAACAAAAAATGTGTAAAATCGGGACAGGGATTATAGACTTAGGGCAAACTGCAAGGAACTCGTTATTTAGCCTTATACCCTGAAGAAGGCACCCCAGTATCCAGGGGGGGGACTCCGTATATGAAAGGGGTGGGGATGCTCGTCGTCTCGCTTAGGAGTGTAAATTTCGGATTTTGGTCTCTCTTAGGGTGTTCTGGGCAAAACACTATTATATTTAGCCGTAAAGGTCTCTTTTAGGGTTGCACTCGAAGAAATATTAAAAAATTATATTTTTTTCAATTCGTCTTGTCTACTCGATTCATGTAATCAAAGTTTAAAATGATCGCATTTAGGGGTCAAAAAATGGTTGGGCCACCCCCAGATTGGTCTCCTTCAGGGGTTTAATTTCAGACGAGCATCCCCAACCCTTTCATATCCGGAGTCCCTACCCCCCCGGGCCCAGTATTAGCCCCCCCAAATTTTGCATAACCTTTGTTTTTCATTTCCGATTCTTTCCTCTTAGGCATTATAGCCGTCTCAGGAGAAATTGAAAACGATACTTATGCAATATTTTTTGGGAGCAAATAAGGCGCATCACGGAAGATGTGCAAAGGGCGTATTGCCGAAACGTCGGTTAAGACTCGTTTGAACAGCGTCGATTTTACAATCTTGAAATTAGCATTAAGTAACTGAGGGATTTCAATCCTTATTGCTCAAAGAGCCGCATGAAGATATATCCAACCTTCTGAACCAGAAAACGGGGCCAGGGCTGGTTTGTTAAAAGCTGGATTAAGATAACCCAGGCTTAGTGAGAAGATTAAAATCAGATATGAAAGCTTAAAAAGCAAATTCACTCATCAAATCTTTTTGTGTACAAATTGTTCATTAGATGCTCTACAAAGAATTCGAGAAAGCTCTCCCACAAAATGCGTTTAAGCAAGAGGAAGAGAAGCCCGGATTAGAATTTAACCCAGATCAGCGCTAATCTGTCTTTGAATATTATAAACTGGGCCCCAAAATCAGTTAATACAAGCCATCGGGGAGAAAGGAGTCAGGCTTGGGCGCCTCGTATTTGTCAAGTACGTACTGACAAGGCTGGTATGTCTCTTACGTTTTGCATGAATTACAAGCTTCTTCCGCCAAAATCAAATCGATGATTTTTCCTATCAGCGGAAGGTAACCTTGGTGCACAATCGGGGCAAATTAAAGCAAAACTGGAATTAAAAATTCAAGTAGCTGCCTTGCGGCGTGCGTTCACTCATCATGACTCAGTTAAACTGGAATCATTCAAATTGTATCGGAGTTTCTGTCTTTCAGTTTAATCCACAGCAAGTCTCAGAGTTTGGCCGAAAATGTTTAGGTGAGCTCAATTCTTTGTCAAATATCCATTTTACGACTCTGATTCACCTTGAAATTCAATTTTATTCCCCAGATTTGGATTCTGTCATAGTAAATCCTATCCCTAAGTTTTTCTTTCCTTTTAGTAACTTTTTTCAAACGGAAAACACTTTGTGATAAAATTGTGTTAATCACGCGCTACGAGAATGTTTGGTTTCCTCATGAAGATTTTTTAATATTTCAATGTAGCACAAAGATTTCAGATGTTACTGAAATGTTACAAGTCAATATAGATTAGTGCATCTTTAAAGTCATACCAGTGTTAATTCAATTGACTGCTTACTGCAAAAGACCTTCTGAGTGCTGTTTCAAATGGTTACACACCTTTTAGTTCTCACAGAATTCACATCACCCCTATACCAAGTTCGGCATACGAGATTACAGAAAGAACGGTAATATTATTACATTGTATTCCAGTCCCTGTAGCGTAGCCCAGCCACTGAAAAACTAAAAAGGAAATTTTGCTCTGAATATTAATGTGGGTGGCCTGTAAAGATTACGGTCAAATAATCTTGAAAATAATAAATGTACATATTTGGTGAGTTTTAATAATGGATATAAGAAAATGTCGAAAAGGGAAAGGAATTTTCTTCTGAAAGTAGACCGAGAATCTTCGGTATGAAAACAGTGATCGCTGATCCCGTCGACAACAAAATATTCGTCTGGGGTGATCTGTGTTGTAGTCTGTATAAGCTTCATTCTGACCATTTTGGGAGTTATGGTTTAGTTATAACGTAGGATCAGGGACAAAATTCTTGCAACGGTTATTCTGAAAAGTAAATAATTCACAAATTTTGGAATATCGTTATTTGAACGATTGATTGAGTTTAAGGTTACCTACAAGGACGATTCCAATTAACTTACTGCAATGTAGAATGTGTGAAAAAATACATTGTGAGAAACTATCAGGTGTTTTTACATTCGTTCAGAAAAATGATTCACCTTCATTACCGGCTAATCACAGAAACATATAAAAGTGTTAATTCCGGCACTTTGATAACTCATGACAGCTTTCTAACTTCGTAACTTCGCCTATTAAAAAGCATTATTAGCTGATCTTCTGAAACATTTAATCTGACCATTGTGTCGATTCAGTCATGCTTAATTTAATCAAAAGATCACACTTCATAGATCAATAGTTATCTACACATTTTCTAGTTATAAAAGCAAGCCATTGGGATGCGACACAGAATTTTATTTTATTATCTACTGGGCTGTTGGTTCTGTTGGTTTAACTGCAAACGCGATTGCTGGAGATTGCTGAAAAACAAGTCAAGGTAGTTTCATGTCTTTCACTTGACAGCACGTGTATCGACAGCTTCCTCTTTGTTGTAACATTAGCTGCTTAAAGTTGCTGACTCTACCGCCAGGTAGATGCAGAAATACCGATAACTGTCCCTCTAAAATGTCTATAGACATGAGATTTTATTTGAGACCAGAAGCTGAGTCGGCCCCGGTCTTCTCAGGCTGTTGGTTAATAACATTCAGCATCGCTAGGCTTAATTTAATTTTCTTATTTTCCCGTTTCCAACTCAGTTAATCGCATTTTCCCCACCACACATCAAAGCCTAAGAACTAAAAAAAATTGCAGTATAAAATTTAGAGTAAAATAAAAGACAGCATGTCGAACTGAAAAGATTGGAGCGCACTTTTTTCTCATACTCGCTGTATAATCAATTCTGATGAACGTACTTGTCTTTCTCTTTTGTTTAACTTGCTAGAGTCCCTTAAATATTTAACTTTTACAAAGCTAAAGGGTTCCTTTTTTCTCCAAAGGGATATCATGGAAGACTATTACTTACCACCTTACGTCTATTTAAAGTCTCTTAGGAAAACAAGCCTCCTTTTTATATTTTTTACAGGTTTAAGATGATGACTATCCTACAACTGCTAATACCTTGTATATTATATGCCACCGTGAACTCCCAAATATTGAGTAAGTAGCACCAATATTTCTCTTTCGTTTTAACCGCCTTGAAAATGTTTCCATCCCTTTCACAAGAAAATGTATTAAAAGTTTACTTCATCAGAGCATATCACACCATTATTTTGTCTCCCATAAATTTTGGTCGACATTTGATCAAGGGATCGCTTTAAACCATGCTTTTTTTCGTCCCTTAGCGTCAAGAAGCAAAATACATCCCTTAAGAGAGCTTAGGCAACCACGACCCCAACAGCAACAGTAGCGCAAAAGTTGCCCCTACTTTCCCCGCGCGCACCATATTCAAACTAAGCTGAAAAGGCATTATTTCAGAGATCCCCCTCCTTATTTTATGCATAAATGGTTTTCTTATTGTATGACATACTGAAGTTTACCTCAGTTCGTAGTTGAATTAGCCTGCATGTACTTAATAAAACTTCTAAATTCTATTACCACACAACTTAAAGAACATGTCAAGAACGTTCAGTCTTTTCAGGCTCAAATCAGTAAACAATGTAAGAAAGCTCAGCCTCAGCGCCAAAATAAATTAGAATGACGTTCTTACAAACAAAAGGAGTAATTCGGGCCTAAGGTACTGTGTATTACACAATCTGTTACTTGTAATTTCCACGCGACTCCATATCGTCTCCTATCTAAACATTATTCTTTCTTCCATCTTGGTTCATATACAGCTTGCAAATCAGAAGGATTTCAACTTTGGAAAGTCGGTTGTTATGGTGATTTCAAAGCCCCGTCGTCAAAGCGAGCAATGCCAGAGCTCTTGCTTACAGATCGAGACAAAACGTCAAAGAAATACACTGGTCAATCGATTGACTGGAAAAACTGGAATACATACTTACCTGAGTAAGTATTTTTGTTCGGTATCACGTCTAGTTAGCAACTTCTTAGCCGGAAGCTAAGGGTGTTATATGGAAGCGTAAAGTAAGGTTTTACTCATTAGGGACCTTAAAATATACCGTTTCTGTCTTCAGGTAGGGTAGGTAGGCAAACATGTTTACCAAGTAGTTATATAAAAGTCAACCATGATTTGCCAGATGTGATGACGGCATCACCTTTCTAGCCAATAGCCCAGCCGTTTCGTAAGGGTTAGGTGCAATTTAGCCGTATTTACCACGATGGGAACTGGTCAATTACCCGTACAAGCAAACGGTGTATCTAATAGTCTCGGCCGGCTATTTTACGGGAAAACGAGTACGGGTAAGTTCTCGGTACTCGTCTCCCGTTTCCCATCCACGTTCACCCGCTGAGTAGATAAATTCAATTTACCACCATCTTTTAGTCTGGAACAAGAGAGAATGAGCTATCATTCTCTCTTGTCTGGAACTAAGAGCTCGGCCGGCGAACGCGCGCGGTACTCGACAACCACACTTCAACGCTATTCCCTACTTAAATAAAGCCCCCATATAAAATTTTTCCAACTCAAAAAATCCCGGAAAAGAACATTTCAAACACACGAAAAATTACTCGTTCATTTTTTAGACTCCTATATTGATGTAGATACGATTACCGTGAAAATGAAAAAGTAATTCTCTTGTCCTTTATTTTCATTTTATTTTATTTTTATAATGCACTGCAATACTTTGTATTTAAGTAGAATATAGTATTTATTCATTGTAAAATATATTGATATGACGTCTGATTTCTTTGTATTTATTCAGACTGGCCTGCCTCGAATAGCCTCACTAACTGCAGGCTAGTACCAATGTATTTTTTGTAATATGTTTCCGAAATTAAGTAAAAGTTGAAGTTGAAGTTTAACTGCGGAGTAGTCCCGCCTCCTCTGGGGATCGAATTGTGGAATGAAGGAATAACTGGAAATTTTCTTTACAACAGAAAAAATGCATATATTTTTTATATATTTTCGGGCGGTTCGTATGATAGGGTTCTTATGTAATTACTACACAGTAGCCAACAAATGTTAAATGAAACTCTGCGTTGTGTTCAAGTCCCTTCAAATATTTTTATGCTTCAGTTTTTCTTGTCGCTGTGCAATGACAGCTAAAAACAAAAGTTACGATTACATGGGCGTCCAGTACTACGGAGAATGCTGGAGCAGCAGTGACGCGATCAACAGATACAATTTGTATGGGCCAAAAGACAACTGCGTAAACACAGCCTTTGAGATATGCTCAGATAACGACAGTTTGGCATGTACTGGAGCGCTATTTTCCAACTATGTTTATGAAATTTTTGAAGGTAAGAAAAGAACTAAGCCTATCAGGCTTAACTTCGCTAACTGATTGAATTAACATAAGGACAGTGTAAATTAATTAATTATTTTTCATCCCCATGTACATATTTCGGTATATTGAGAAAAGGGACTGACTTGTTCCCTCAAAGGAAATGTGTGGCTGGTACACTCTGGACACTTGATATGTAGCGGCAAGAGAGGATAAAGGGGACAGAGAAGGCATCCCTCATACACACCCTATTCCATAGGTAATTCGTCTCGAGTTATTTTTAGAATCGGGATAAAGTTACCTCGCGCGCGCTGCGTGGATGTTTCGTGGAGGTTTCGCATGACTAAACGCCGTGCAAAACATGTTGGGCGAAAGGCAATGAAAGCGTAAAGAGATCGAGAGCATTCGTGAATATTGAACAGAAATGGGTCGGCGCTCACCTGGGAAAAGGGAATCGCTGGACTCTTTGACAACCCGTGAAATCAGCTTAATTCGAAGTTGTCGTAACCTCAACGGCTTTAATAAAATGAGAAATTTCGCCAGTCTATTGAAACCGGTCGTTTGTTCAATAAAGCAAGTAGGACGCCAAGTGTTATCTTTGTTGAATAATAAAAGACTAATTAAAGAATAAATATCAAATCAGAAATTGCTCTCTTCAAACTGTAAATTAGAAATGATCCTGATAGAATATTCGGTGTGTTAAGGATTTTTCTGCTTTACTGTTAGCTCTTTACAAGAGAAGAAGGGAGATTCTTTTTTCATTTCCGTTTCGCTGACACAGCTTTATTTCACAGAAATCTCTCTGTAGTCGTTTTCGTCGACAAAACGAATAGCAATATCGCTCTCCGCGTCTTCCACAATTTTGTTCTGCGTCAATTCGTGAAGGTCGCGTGGCTCTGAGCGTGGGTCATCCACGCGGAAGACATTCGCGCTATGTGATTGGCTATTGTCTAATCCCCCTTGGGATCTGTGGTCTTAAAAATAGCTGGTTCTTAAAAATAGCTCAAGACGAATTACCTATGGAATAGGGTGTGTATGGAGGATGCCTTCTCTGTCCCCTTTATCCTCTCTTGCTTGCACTTATTTTGAACGCTTATAGGCTTTCTGTTTAGGATCGGTTTTCGCTTATTTTTGATGTATTTGTATGGAGGTATGGAGAGAACATGGATAAGGCCAAAAGTTCATTTATTTTAGAGAAGGGGGTATGAAGATGTTAGCGGGGGGGGCTGAAAATTTTGTGTCTGTGCTCGGGGGCTTTGGAGCGAGATAGGGCACTCAAGGACAAGCTCTACTCCTAAGATTTTGTACATTCTAAAATTTTTTTCTTGCATTTAGCTATTGATGGTGATTTCACGCCCTGGGTGGAGGAGTGCTGCAGTCAGACGTGTGGTGGAGGAGTCAAAAAATGGAAAAGGACTTGTACCAATCCCTCGCCACAGTACGGAGGCAAACCATGCGAAGGCCCCACGGAGAAAACTGAAATTTGCAATGCAGGCGCATGCGGTAAGTTAAGAAATATTTTATAAATTTTTCTCTCTCTCTTTTTATTTAATTATTTAATTATTTTTTTATTTCAAACAGAGCAATGAATTCAGGAATTCTGTCTTGTGAGAACATTAACCGCAGCGACAAAGCTAGTGTTGTTGTATTTCTTTTCTTTTCTTCTTTTGTTAATAGTTAAGTGTTGTAAACGAGGATTAGCTTAAGGATTGGGTTTTTGTAACTTAGAGCGAACAGTTTTCCCCCTAATCTGATTAGCTGATAGACATTAGCTTATGAAACGTCAGTAAAGAAAAGAATTGTGTTTGTCGTTCCTGTCAATGAATCATCACAATATACTTCAGTCAGAAGCTAGTAGGTGCAGATCCCTAACTAGCCTGCGAGCAAACTCTCCGGGGCGCTCTGGCGGCGGGGAGGAAAAGGAAGGAGGAGCTTCCGACTACAAATCTCGAATTTGAATTCCACATCCAATTCTCCCGTGGCTCTCCCCGTCTACTGAGCTGTCAGATTTCCACCAAATCAGCGCGAAGGGGAAACGAGCTCGAATGTACACGTACCAAGGGGTAATGACGTTATTACTAATGTCATCTCCGCCAATCAGTATTTTGCATCTACGTTTTCGATGCAGATAATCAAATTTCAGAGACGTATTGCAAGGTCTCCTTTCTTATCCTCTACGCCGCCAGAACAGCCCGGACAGCTTGCTCGCGGCATGTACCTAACATATACTCCTCTGTATTTCTTATTTTCACAGATTCCTATTCCTCGACTGAAGGGAGTGCTACAGGCGCTGCAGTATAAGGACGCTATAAACTTATTGATCACTTGTTTCACTAACTGACTGAATATACAGGTGCAAAACTGGTGCAAATGCCGTGAGCTCAGTCAACCGAGCGATATGTCAACGGTGTGGGAATTGGGAATAATAATAATGACTGTCACTTAAAGGGTATTATGAAATAAACAGTGAGAGAGCCTAGAATTGTATTATGATTGAGGTTCCTCTTTTAGGCACTGGCATAAGGTCCCTTCAACCAATAGCGTGGCAATGAAGCTGAAAGGTTTATTTACGCCCTCGCCAAACAAAACCGCCAGCTACGCAGGCTACTTTATCAACGACCCAAATCCTAGGGGAGGGGTCTATAATGATAATGTAATTCCTTTTACTTACACTTACCCTCGGCAGTATTTATAGCACTTATGCCAGTGGGGCCGAGCAAATGACAAAAAAAAATTCAAATCAAACATAATGGGGTTAAAAACCCCAAATGGCCGAAGGCAAACCAGCTGGCTATTTACAAGCGTGGTCGAGGATTTGAACTTGGCACTTACGCGTGAAGAAATCCGGCTAGCGCTCAGGGCAGGACTTGAATATTCGGGGCCTCAAAAATGCAAGTTCAGCGCCCTAACCACTCGGCCACGCTGCCACTCCTACAATAATACTACCAAATGAGTTGCCATTTTAACCTTCAGCGCTCTTCATTAGTATTTGGAGCAATTCACAAAGGTTACTTTGAATTAGTCAACCTCATTCCTAAGAAAGACACCGGGAACGAGGCTCTGAGAAATCCATTTTTCTGCCACACAGTGTACTTAGAAAAGAACAGTTTTAAGGTGGAGTAAATCTTTTACGCATTATTCGACGAGCTCGAAGAGGAACATATCGCAAATCCTTTGCCACATGCCATCCAGCTTCGTTTTTAATTTTGTCATGCTTGTCAATCCCAGTTTCTCTTAGTTTCGCCACACGTTTTCTCCTGAGATGTTCCAGGAAATCATTCTCCTTTCTGACTAAGTTTTCACAGAGGCGCTTTGAATTTTCATCAACATCATTTCTAACTGAATAGCCCTTCACAAATTTGTTACGATAAGCTCTTTCGATTCGAGTACCATTGATCAAGCATGATTGCTGTATTTCATGTTTTCTCCGACGAAACGTACTCAGTTCCTCATAAAAGCTTGGTCCTTCGTTCTTGACTCTTCCCCAAAACGTCGCGTTAAAATAATCGAATAACAAAACGTCTGCTTTATTCCATCGCCTTATATTTTCTTTAACTCTTGCACTTAAACGAGTAGCTTTTTCCTTGTCTTGTCGCTCATTGAGCTTTACGTACAAAATGTCCTCTATCCCCCAACATAGCAATCTCTTCATTAACAGCAGCGACTCATCAACGTAGTCCATAATCATGACAAGATCAAATTCATTGTCTAAGAACTGAATGTACTCTTTAACAGCTGTGAGATTTTGGAAATACTCAAACCTCAAACCCAAATCAAACATCATAGGATTTCGCGCCAAATACATCATAATACTCGCCTTACGAGAATGGTCATAAGATTGTATTGGTTTATCTAGAAATTTTTCCAGGGAATCGAGCGCAACTCCCAAACCAAACGATTTTCCTAGTTGAGCAAAGTTGAAAGCAGACTCGTAGTTGTCTACAGGGTTTCTGAGAATTGTGACGTACTTGCTAGTTTTTCGTGGAAAAAGCCAGTTCATTGGTTTCTTATTAAATCTTGCATGACTGCAGAGTATATCAGGAGCTTTGCCAAACATACGCAGTGGGTGGAAAATGTGAAATTTCTCAGGCCAGCCAAGAATGGTGCCAGCCCCTAGAGCAAATGTAAGATTCCTGGCGTCTCCATAACGAAAGAAGATGTTAGCCATGGTGCTTGATCCAGTTTTGTGCGTTTTAAGAAAAAGAATCTGCTTTTGTGCGAAACACTTAGTTTCATTCTCAGTCGCCGACCAAAGACTGCTTGTGTTGACATGTTTGCTCCTGTTACAAAAAAAAGAATATAATATATAAAATAACTGGACCTTGGGCTGGTCCGAGTGCGTAGGCAGTTTCGTCCAATGTAAGGGAATACGGATTCCGGAATCTGGGACATTTTTGCTTGTGGAATTTCCCAAAAACTTTACTTGTGGAACCGGAATCCTGGGCTTTGGAATCCGGAATACAGCTAAAGGAATCCAGAATCCCACTAACAATTGGAATTCAGTATCCAAGTTCCACTAACAAAGACTGGAATCCAGTACCTGAAGTCCGGAATTCACACTCTGGAATCCAGAATCCAAGAAATGTCTTGGATTTCCTAACATGGGGCGAAATTATACCGAAATAGAGCGTTTTCACTCCCGTGGCCAGCATCTATGCTCATTTATTGGAAAAAAAGAAAGCATTTACATGAGAAAAGAGTTCAACTCCCAGAGGATTTCCTTGGTACACCAACATGGCCGCCGTTTCATTGTTGTGGAACACCAATATGGCCGCATTGACGTCACGCGAAAATGCTCTATATCGGTCGAGCTATTGGTGGACACTCCAGCGCGGTTCCCTATCAGGACTCTCAGGAACACCCGAGGCAAAAAGTGCTTAGAAATTTCTAATTTGGAGAAAGGCTAAATCTTTCTGGATAACCGTTCCATTCATTTGAGATATTCGCAGTTTTTCAACTAACTTTTCAACGATTTTTGGAAGTTGTATTTCCCCATTTTATTACCAAAGTACAGTGAAAACCTCTATTAAGCGGACACCCTTGGGACCTTCCCAAGTTTCCGCTTAATAAAGGGTGTCCGTTTAATTGAGGTTGTAAAAATTGCGCAATGTTTGTTAACGAACATTATTATTCATTCAAATATTTTCCCGATTCTGATTGGCTAAAAGCACACGCATAATTCACCATAACCAGTTACTGATGACCAAATTTGGAAGAATTTTGTGTTTAACGAGGAAATGACGTCAAAAATGCAGCGTTCTTGCAAGTTAATGCACCATTAACCGAGAAGATCTGGGGACGAGGTTGAGTTGTCTTGGTTGTGAAAACAAAAAATGGCGGACATTTCACTCCTTTCAAAAGTAAGAACTAGGCGAAATTATAGCTAAAAACATGGCAAGAACAGCAAGAACACAACTCGAAGGGCGACATCTGCCATTTGGAGAATATTTGCGGAGCTGAACAACCCTAAACTAGGCCTTATTTTGAATGAACAATAAAACAATTATTGAATTCGGCTTTCGTGTCATATGAAGAATTATGGAGATCTCGGAGGGTGTTATCCGCCTCGGCCTACGGCCTCGAGATCGACGGATAACACCCTCCTCGATCTCCATAATTCTTCGTAAGATACTCAACCTCATTCATTAATTGCTAAATATTCAACGGTTGCTCTGTCCTGTGATAAAGTTGCATTTTGCTAAAGAAGCTATCCAGAGTTCAAGTTCATTACCTTTCATTACCAACTTTAATTTGTTTGTAAATGCAAAAACATTAGCTGACTTAAGTCCGTATTTCAAGGACGTAATCCAACACTGCTATTGTCAATTCAGCCCGGTGTCCGCTTAATCAATGGAAATTAGCTAAATACACCTTATTTTATAGCCTCCCCGCAGACGTCCTTTGGGGTTCGTCTGCGGGGAGGCTACTCAGTATTTTAGTGTCTGTGTCCGCTTAATAGAGTTGTCTCCTGAATAGGGGTTCGTTATAAAGGTAAATATAAGACGTTAATTTCGGGACCTGGCTTATAGTGTCCGCTTAATAGAGGGTGTCCACTTAATTGGGGTCCGCTTAATAGAGGTTTCACTGTACTGCAATGATTGTTAAGAAATGGTCTCCTGAAAGTTTCGGCCTAGTTCCGAATGAGACAAAAAGAGGCACCTGAAACAGTTTCGAGACGATCAAAGATCCCCTAAGACATCAGAACAGAATGATAATAACTTTGAGGGTAGCTCCAAATTAACCAAATAGGCTTCTAAAGCATAGAATGAGATAAAACCATTTGTGACACTCCGGGAAACTTCCTTCTGACGTATCAAGTCCACTTCAGTGCCTATGGGCCGAGTATCCACTGATGATTAATATACGAATGGCACTGCCAGTAATCTCTACAGCACACAAATCGCTAGAAATGCCTATATCACGTACATTTTTGCAGAAATCAGCACAAAAATGGTTGTCACAGATTGCATGACTAAAGGCAAACAAAAACAAAATATTCCAGTCATCACACAGAGTTCTCTTCACTGCAGTCGCACACAAAAACAGCCGTTAGGTCGTTTTATTTAGGGAATTCCGCTTAAGTTGGTTTGATTTAGTTCAGCTTGATTTTGCGTTGTTAGTGACCCTAAAACACATCCGCAAAATGTTCTCAAATGGACTTATCGACCCTAGCATTTCACTACGGGTCACGAAAACTTGATCTACCGTTATTTTAACTGATGAGACCCTGTCTGTAAGTCAAGGGCACCCAATGACTGCATGTGTTCAGTAAAATATCTGTTCGGAGAAGCAAATATTACCGCTGACACGGATAAGCCTGCTCTCGTGAATCCTTTAAGTTTTTTCCATTGTCACTAGGCATTTAAGGTATACGTAGGAGTTCCTCGTCTTCCCTTAAATCGAATCAAAGCACTTACAAAACTTTCTGCACTTAGCTTCGGCACAAGTTCCATATGAACAGATCGTGATGTAGCTCTGAATAATGCTATGTAAGCCTTAATCATCTCCTTTTTCTTCAGCTGACAATACATCCATGACATACAAGGGTTTGGCGAAAACTACTCCAACACTTGTGAAGGCGAAATCATCATTTAACCGAAATCCAGGCAGAGGAGGGGGAGGAGGGACTGCATAGCCTTGGCCTGCAATTTTCTTTATAATAATAACTATTTATTCACAAATCTATGGAAAATTGAAAAGGAGATAAAGGAGGTTATCTCTTTCTAGTTTATCTCCTTATAATAAAATAAATTACGATCATTAATTATTTACAATTCTTTAAATAAATATAAAATATATTACACGCTTGAAGAACTAAGTGTTCCCCTGACTAGAAAAATTTGCAAAATGACGTCTCATCACGAAATTTTCTAAGATTCTCTAACTTCTTCTTCCACCTGACCTGACCACGTTTCATTGCTTTACTAAACAGGCAGCGCAAGACAGCCTTTCAACCGATGAAATTCAGTTTTCCAAGAGTTCCCGGGTCTCGGCATCTGAATGTATAAAACGGACACAATCATAGACTTTCTTCAGATGATCTTCAAGAATATAATTCAAAACCTTCAGACTAGCACTACATCAGAAAACATTCAGAATCTTCGAGCAAGAGAGATAAATCGTTGGGGGAGAGATAAATCGTTGTACCGACGTCCGCTGAGTCCCAGTTTCCAACATGCATTTCTAGATATCTAAAAGTACTCTGGGTGGCCCAAAAAGCGTTTGCAAGTAGTTAGGACGAAACCCTCGTTGGGTCCTCCAAGTACAATACCAATTTAGGCGCTAAAGCACACGTACCAACTCCGCGATAAACTGACAATTCGCTGTTTTCTCATTGCTTGAGGAGAAACTCTAACAGAGTGCACGCGATCCACGCGCTAAAACCCTGTAAGCGAGGGCTAGGCTCGTCTGGATATATGAGCTCTTCTCTAACTAAGATCATAACAAAATGTCAAATCCAGTACTTACTTCAAATCATAGGTCGCCCGCCGACCGGATCCAAACAGGTCATGATTAATGACAAAGTATACATAAATAACACATGCTGAACAAAGAAATATCAACAGGCAAGAAATACGACTGATGAAACTGCGATGAAGGATTTCCATGCTTGATACAGTGGAATCTCAATACAACGCAGCTCTATATAACGAAGTCCTGGATATAACGAACAATATTAGTTACTCCCAGTAATAATAAGCTTTATTTTAAAAAAATACATACAATGGATTTACATGAGGGTCTAGATGGGGGCGTACAAATGTCAGTGTCAGTTAAAATTTTGGCCATTTGTCAGTTGTTAGTTAAATTTTAGGCTTTTTGTTAGTTGTCAGCTAAATGATTATTAATGATTAACTATATATGAAACTTATTTGTATATTTTTGAACCGAAATTAAGGTACATATAATTAAATTCGAAAATTAATGCAATAGTACCTTAATTTTTGTCAGTGTTGCTATTGTAAGCATTTCAAGTGGCCCTCCATTTCTCAAGTCTTGTGTTACTCTCCTCCACTCGAGCGTTTTTGCTGGCCAGAGTCCAACATTTCCAACCATTAAGCCAATAAAAATTTATACCTTCAGAATATTGTATTCCTGCCAACTCTCATGCATTATGCGTGAGAGCTGTGGACAGCTGTGTGGACTAAAGACATCGATCTCACCCTTGTAGAACAATTTCTCACGCCTGACTCACAAGTCTGGAACACATGATAAATAATGAAAATTCAGTCCTAAAAGGCGTTAAATGATGACTTTGTGTCCTTTGTGTGTTCTTACGAAATCAAAGCACGCTAAAACTGTTGTCTTTTAAGGTGGCTCCGTAATTAATACAAGAGCATTTAGCTGTGACAAATTTTCCGTCATACTTTTTCGATTTTAAAGCAATGGCTGCGAAACTTTGCAAAGAACAACAGGTATCATTCGGCAATAATACGAAATATTGCGATGTCATTGATGGTAAATATTTCTTGATAAATTTAGCGCTTAAAAGGACCCTCCTGTTCAAAGAAAATCGCTTCTAGTAAAAAATTTTGCTGATATTTTTTACTGAATTTTCTGGTATCGGCTTTAATTGATATGATAAATATGCCGGAGGAATTTCAGAAAAATCGTTGTAGCAGAAGTCCGTGACTAAAAGCCGCTCAAAATTCGGCTGTGAAATTGTTTTGGAATTTCAAAAATAAATTACTATCAGGTTACCCTGGGTTCCAGAGGATATTTTTTTCTTTTTTC